ATTCAGTCCGCATGGCCCTGCAGCCCTCCGCATCCGTGTGGCCCGGCACCAGACCTCTCCTTCCCTCCGAACGGGACAGGATGTCTTGCCGATGCTGGATAGATGTTGTGCCAATGCGGCACAGGTCGTCGCATTGGCTAACAACATGGTTTTCATCACGGGGGCCCTGGATAGGTCGCTCTCCTCTGGCCAGGCGCTCAGTGGAGACCTGCTGTCACAGGCAAGGACCACCTCGGCGGCGATTCTGCGCATGTGCCAGACGCTAGCCGTGGACGGTGGCCGCTCCATGGCTGCAGCCCAAGTCGGGGCCAGGCACCTTTGGCTTGGGCTGGCTAATATCAGGGAGGCGGAGAAGAGGCAGCTGCTGGACCTGCCCATCTCTCAGACGTCCCTCTTCGGCCCGGACATGCAGGCCCTGGTGGCGAGACTGGAGTCTGCAGCCAACGACTCGGCTAGGCTAGCCCCGCACCTAGCACCGAGGCGCGAGGCCCACCAACCATCACAGAGCCGGGACAGAGGCAGAGAGCGTTCGCCCGGGAGGCATCCTGACCCGTATCCGCGCTCTGTTGTCCATCGTCCCCCCTCGACGAGGCCCCCAGGTCCAGACAGACCCACGGGTGGCTCGCGGGAGCAACGCACTCACCGCCGACCTCCCTATGGCAGAGGAGGTCGGGGTGGAAAGTTTTCCTTCAATAAAGGCCGACCGGCATTTATTCATTACTCGTTTCTAGAGTCTCATTTGGGGGTATGTAACATGTCAAATAATCTTGTGAATTCTGATTGTGTTACTTCTCGAGCACATAACGTTGCTTCGCTAGGCCTGTAGCCCCCAGAGCAGGGTTTGCAGTGCGCTACGCGAGCTGCGAGCTCTGGTTCTCTGGTTCATGCTATGCCCTCCCAGAGAGAGGTCAGGCGGAGGGATCTGGTGAGTAGTGATGTGTGTGCTTCGGCCGAACGCGTGTTAGCATCTCTTGAGCTACTAGGCTAACACGGGGTCTCCCACTCCAGGGGCTCGCCCCCCCCTCCATGAGGCAAGAGCCAGGGGGGGGCACAGCAGCCGAGTCACGTGGGATGAGCAGTCCCGTACTTATGACGTCGGGCCTGCAGGACACGTGACCGCCCCCGGCGCTCACGGTGTGACGCAGGGGGCCCCCCGGCCCTTTCGTCCACCCCCCCTCCCTGCGAGGAACACCAGGAGAGGGCGGGGCCATGACGTCTCGTGTTCCAGCTCCCGTTCCGCCCCTCACAGACTTCTACAGCATCTGGAGGGAGCAAGGTTTGCTGACAGATTTATGGCTGGAGAAAACATTGCGCAGGGGTTACGCACTGCAATTCTCCCGAAAGCCACCACCATTCCGAGGCGTACGGGCAGCACGCTCTCAGGTACGGGGATCATTAGAGGCACTACAAGCGGAGGTCTCCTCCCTGCTGAGTCGAGGCGCAGCAGTGGAGGTAGACCCGCAGGACGCCACCAGGGGGCTGTACTCCCCTTACATGTCCTCCATAGACCTGACAGACGCTTACTTCCACGTGCCGATAGTGCCGGAACACAGGAGGTTTCTGCGCTTCGCAGTGGGAGAGAGGAATTACGAGTACTGCCGTCTCCCCTTCGGCTACGCACTCGCGCCTCGCACTTTTTCCAAGTGCGTGGAGGCAGCACTGGAGGCGCTCAGACGCGCAGGGGTAAGAATTTTAACCTACATAGACGACTGGTTAATTCTGGCCTCATCCAGAGAAGTGGCCGTGAGCCACACGCACTGGGTCCTGTCCCACATACAGCGTCTGGGCTTTGTGATGAACAGGGAGAAAAGCAAGCTGCAGCCAGCTCAACGCATGATTTATCTCGGTCTGCAGTTAGACTCTGTGACATTCCGTGCTGCATTGTCCGTGGACAGACGGATGAACATTACCCGTCTGGCCAGGGAGGTTCTGGCGGGCCCCAGAGTCCCCACTCGGCGCCTCAGGTCCCTGCTGGGAATGATGGCGGCGGCTCATGCTGTGGTGCGGCTAGGCCTTCTCCACATGAGGAATTTTCAGAGGTGGTTCTCACGCCTCAGGCTTCACCCCTCCCGGGACGGGGGGAGGCTGATCTGGGTTCCCCAAGTGGCAGTATCGGACATCAGGTTCTGGCTCACTCCGGGTCTATTGCGGGACGGAGTGACTCTGGCCTGCGCCGTGTCTCACGTGGAGGTGTTCACGGACGCGTCGCTCGAAGGATGGGGCGGGGTCCTCGGCCAGAGCTCTGTAGGAGGCTGCTGGTCGGACTCAGCCCGTCACATCAACCTGCTGGAGATGGAGGCAGTGCACAGAGTACTGCTGCACTTTGCTCCTCAGCTGCAGGGGAGACACGTGATGGTGCGCTCAGACAACACCACAGTGGTCTCCTATCTGAACAGGCAGGGGGGCACCAGGTCCCCCGCTCTCCATCGCATGGCGACGGTGACGCTGCTGTGGGCGGCGCTTCACCTCCTGTCTCTCAGGGCGCGCCACGTCCCGGGGGTCCGGCACGTGGGGGCCGACAGGATGTCCAGGGGGGGCCCACTCCAGGACGAGTGGGGCCTGGCCCCACGGGTAGCTGCGGAGATCTGGCGCAGGTTCGGCTGCCAGTGGTCGACCTTTTCGCCAGTGCAGAAAACGCACAGTGCCCGTCCTGGTTCGCCTTAAGGGCCGCGGACGAGCCGCCCTTAGGCGTGGACGCTCTGGCTCATTACCCCTGGCCAGGGGTCCTGCTGTACGCTTTCCCACCGGTGCGTCTCCTGCCGGTCCTGCTGCGGAGGATCGAACAAGAGAGGAGGTCGGTGATCCTGGTGGCTCCGGACAGTCCGCATGCCCGGTGGTTCCCCTTCCTGAGGGGCATGGCGGTGATGGAGCCCTGGGCCCTCCCGGACGAGCCGGGGGCTCTAGTCCAGGGGGGAGGAGCCCTGTTTTCACGCCCGATAATCGGCCGCAGGCTCTGGGTTTGGAGGCTGAGAGGCGGAACCTCGTAGACCTGGGTCTTCCCCCTGCGGTGGTGGAGACCATTCAGGGGGCGAGGGCGCCGTCCACTGTGAGGGCCTACGCCACGAGGTGGAGGCTCTTCAGCGACTGGTGCGGTTCCCGTTCCTGGGATCCCAGGCGTTGCCCGCTGGAGGGGGTCCTGGGATTCCTACAGGAGCTCTTTGACAAGGGGAGGGCTGTCGCCACCTTGGCGGTGTTCGCGGCAGCCATTACTTCGGGTCACGACGGATTCGGGGGGTTCACAGCCCGCTCTCATCCGTTGGTTAAATGTTTTCTGCGGGGGGCGCGCAGGAGGAGGCCCCCGCTCCAGAGAACGCCCCCGGTTTGGGACCTCAGGGTGGTCCTTAGGGGGCTGTCGGGTCCGCCTTTTGAACCGGCGGCGGAGGCGAGTCCCGAGTGTGTCGCTTTTAAGACGGCCCTCTTGTTGGCGTTGGCGTCTGCTAAGAGGGCGGGCGACTTGTGTGTGCTCTCTGTCCATGCGTCTTGCCTGTCCTTTGGAGAAGGCGATGGCATGGTGGAATTGTGGCCCAATCCGGCTTTTCTCCCCAAGGTCATCACGTCGGCCTTTAGGTCGAGAGTCATCAGGATTAGGGCTTTCTATCCGCCACCGCATGCCTCCCCCGAGGAGGAGCGGCGGCACCTTCTGTGTCCTGTCAGAATGCTGAGGCATTACCTGGCCATGACGTCGTCATTCAGGTTGGGTGGTCAGCTGTTTGTGTGTCTGGGCCCCAAGAACAGGGGCGCCCCGCTGTCGGCTCAGCGGCTGGCGCACTGGGTCGCCACGGCTGTGCGGCGGGCGTATCAGACGCAGGGTCTGGCGCTCCCGGTGGGCTTCAGGTCGCATTCCACGCGTGGGATGGCGGCCTCTACGGCCCTTCTCAGGGGGGCGTCGGTCGAGGACGTCTGCCGTGCGGCTTCTTGGGCGTCGTCCTCCTCTTTCGTCCGGTCTTATCTTGGATGTGTCGGACCGGTCGGTGGCCCATTCCGTGCTGAGTGCAGCGGACTGAGTTAGACCGTTAGGTCCCTCCTCTGAGGGGGCCTTCGGTTTACTTTCCGCCCTGGTTCAGGAGCTCTTGGGAGAGGCATCCTACAGGTGCGGTACATATATGTGTGTTTGGTCGGTCAGGTAGTCCACGTCAGGAGCTCTTGGGAGAGGCGTCCTGTGACTACGGATGACCTACGGTCTGTGTTACGTGGGGGTATCCTTGGTAGGAGTGGCCCTGTAACACGCATTGTTTCTTCTGCCCTGAGTCCTCTCACTGTGTGAGGGTCTTGCTCGGGCGGAGCTCCAATCACCCTTCGCTGGCCTGCTGGGAGTACATGTTCCTACGGCCTCCGCGTTGTGTCCCACTAGCGAAGTCCTAAGGGACGTAGCACCATGACGTAGAATTAATAGTTACCTAATGTAACTTAAGTTCTACGAATAGGTGCGTAGTCCCTTAGCTACGAGCCCATCAGGCCAGCCCGGCTTGGCAGAGTTCAAGAGGGGGTGCGGCCTTGTGCAGGGGCATTTATAGAGGATGGTGGCTGGTGATTGGAGCAAATTATTTTGATCTCTCTGGCGTGTGACCTGGGGGTCACGAGTGATATCCCACTAGCGAAGTCCTAAGGGACTACGCACCTATTGGTAGAACTTAAGTTACATTAGGTAACTATTAATTTCTTCTCCAATGTTTTGCTATTTAATAATATCATAGTTATGTCTGTAAGCCCTACATAGTAGCCTGACTCTCGACAAACACTCCGCCAGAGGCGTTTGGCTGAACACAAGTGTGAAGCTCAGCGAACTACAAGGGTCTTGCGAGAGTCAGGCTACTACATAGTGCAGTGCATTAAAATAATTGTGTTCCTCACTCTGATGTGTTAAAAAGCAAGATGCCCCTCGGTCGAGTGTAAGCAGTGATGGTGATCACGACTTCATAACTGACTTTCTCACACTTTACATTGTGGTTGTAAGTGTTTATGGAGTCGTCCATTGTATCTGCTGCTGTTTGTACCTGCAGGGACTGTCTCTGAGCTGAAGGGGGCGCTCAACTCCACTCAGAATCTGGTGCAGGAGCTCGGACACAGAGTCACAGATCTGAGAGCAGAGATGGTCTCCATGACGACATCAGGGACAGGTCTGTTCTGCTGATGGAGAAACTATGGCCTCATTCACACTGAGAGAATTCTCTGAGACTGAAGCAGGTTTTCTCTGTTTGTAGCTGAAGTCTCTGAGGTAAAGCAGGAGCTGGACCTCAAACTCTCAGGTTTTTCTTTTTCTTCACTCTGAAAATACTGCAGAAGTCACTGAATAGGACGGTTGCAGAGGGAGCAGCTTCTGCAGTCAGAGCTCTCCCTCAGAATAGAGGATGAAATATAGTTGCGATTGCAACTATTATTAACGCAAAATGAACCAACCTCTGACCTTGCAACTTTTTCAAAACTCTCCAACTTTTCCGCAACTATACAGAAACAAATAAGTAATATATCTCTGCTGTTGAAACTAATGTGCCACCACTTTCGCCTTATATGGGCAGTTTCAAAATGGCCAAAGGACTGGAAAATGTTGAAAAACGTATTTGTGCATGTCAGCTGGCACAAGCCACATGCATTTGACGAGTGCCTTCAAAAGTCCACAGAAGCTAAACTAGACTGGTCCAAAAAATATACTCCCCTCAGCATTAACTCATGGGCCAAGACCCGACTTTTGGTAAAGCTGTTTTCAAGAGGAAAGAGGACGCCATGTAAAAGCATCGGAGAATTCTCTTTCTGGGCCACCCCACTTAGCCTGGCTCTGCCAGACCCTTGTAGTTCCGCCATGCTCCACCAGAGGCGTTTGGCTGAAGTGCAGCGAACTACAGGAACTACATGGGTCTGGCGAGAGGCAGGCTCATGGGCTAGACACACGGGAGGCGACATCGCATCGCCTCCATTCATTTCAATGGGACGTGCGCGACATAGCGTCAATCGCTAGCGAGCCTCCTGCTCAGCGACGGGCGAAAAACGTGCGTGTGAAATCCTCCCGCTCGTGCATGTATCGTGCACGCGCGGGTCAGCGACGCGATCCCAGAAAGTTGAAATCGGCTCAACTTTTCGACGCTGTCGTCAAGCCGCATCGCGCCCCGTCTGTCATGTTATCTGAGCGACAGCGTTGAGTTTCGCTGATCGCTCTCATTTGTCGCCTCCCGTGTGTCTAGCCCATAATGGGCTAGACACACGGGAGGCGACATCGCATCGCCTCCATTCATTTCAATGGGACGTGCGCGACATAGCGTCAATCGCTAGCGAGCCTCCTGCTCAGCGACGGGCGAAAAACGTGCGTGTGAAATCCTCCCGCTCGTGCATGTATCGTGCACGCGCGGGTCAGCGACGCGATCCCAGAAAGTTGAAATCGGCTCAACTTTTCGACGCTGTCGTCAAGCCGCATCGCGCCCCGTCTGTCATGTTATCTGAGCGACAGCGTTGAGTTTCGCTGATCGCTCTCATTTGTCGCCTCCCGTGTGTCGAGCCCATAATGGGCTAGACACACGAGAGGCGACATCGCATCGCCTCCATTCATTTCAATGGGACGTGCGCGACATAGCGTCAATCGCTAGCGAGCCTCCTGCTCAGCGACGGGCGAAAAACGTGCGTGTGAAATCCTCCTGCTCGTGCATGTATCGTGCACGCGCAGGTCAGCGACGCGATCCCAGAAAGTTGAAATCGGCTCAACTTTTCGACGCTGTCGTCAAGCCGCATCGCGCCCCGTCTGTCATGTTATCTGAGCGACAGCGTTGAGTTTCGCTGATCGCTCTCATTTGTCGCCTCCCGTGTGTCGAGCCCTTGATATTTCAAGCATGTTAGCGCACATGCTCACAGACCATTTTGAGTCTAGACCACACCCACCGGTCACTCTCATGTGAGAGGCGCATTCCTGCGCAGAGTGTTCTGAAGCACAGTGCGGTAAATTAAACACTTGGTGCTCACTGATCTCGCTTCATACTCACTGGTCCGCCACCTATCACCTCACCCTGTCGCCTCTTTAAACCACACAGTAACATCATCCATGGCTCGCCCGCAGTTCAGGGTGCGCAGTCTGTGCACATCAAGTTTGCGCGCCTTTCTAAACTCTCCTCTTCCGCTTATGTGGTTCCAGGTGACCGGTCAAACAGATTGCATTTTATACGAGATCATGGATCTAATATAATAACTTGTTGACAAAAGTGTATCTTTCTTAATATCAATAAAGTGTGTCTTTTATTTATTATTATTATTTTATTTATTTATTCATATATATTTTTTTAACTATTTCTACTGCAACTTTTAGTAAAATATCCCTCGCAATGAAGCATGTTAGCCCGTAACAATCACAATAATTGCCCACATAATCCTGGAGGGACTGTAATACAGACTCACAGTGATGCACATTAAGAGGTCAGAGATCTTGATGTTCTTCTGTTTCAGCTGCTGCAGAAAGAATCCACTCAGTGTCTGAGAAACTAAGAGACGTCCAGGCTCAGACTGAAGGTACACAGACTACTGCTGCTACTACTACTGCTGCTGCTGCTGCTACTTCTACTACTACAATATTACAGCATCAGTTTTTTACATGATTTTCTGGACTCTCAAAGAAACAGGTCATTTTTCTTTCATTCCAAATATGGCATAGGTCTGATGGGGTCTGTTTTGCAGTATAAAACCCTACAGCTTGAGTTCTGACTAGAACCAGAAAGTACCTTCCCATTAGTCCTGGTCTCAGGTCTCTGCTTCCTGTGGCTCAAATAATAGATTTTAAAGCAGCTCTGTTTGTTACGAGTCTGGACAAGTACATGGGACATGTCACTGCCATATGAACCAACTCCTGATCACCTCCTTCTCCCACAGACGACACCGCTGCTCTGAAGTTAGAGCTCTCCTCGCTCCTCAGTCGAGTGTCTGTATTCTCGGGTCAAATGCAGAAAAATGTGGAACAGCTGCAGACGGACTGTAGAGGTCAGAGGCACAACAACAACACAACAATAACACAATAATAATATGTTTTATTTTGTTTGTCAGTGCTTTCTGTTCGTCTGGATTCTCTGGAATCACATCTGGGACAACTTCACACACAGAACAAAGGTACAGGACTGAGGCTATAGATCCAGGACTGAAGCTGTATCTCTGCATAACTCTGTGACTCTCAGCTCAGTCGGACCAGGCTCAGTCTGTGGAGAAACATCTGGAGCAGCTGCAGAGAGAGAATAAAGGTCTGCCACATGACATCATCACTGTGACATCATCACTGTGACATCATCACTGTTGTTGTTGCAGCTGCAGCTCAGCAGCTCCAGTCTGTGTCTGAAAACATCCTCCAAACTCAAACACAAACTCTAGGTCTGAGCGTTTCACTTTTTTTGTGTGTGTTTTTATTCTTGTTGTTTCTAGCTTTAATCCGGAGGTAGTCTGGGCAATTCTGTTTTAATTCATGCTGTTTTCTTTTTTTTTTTTCTGGTTTAAGTCTTGTTAAATTCTAGTGTTATCTTTTGTTTTTCTTGTGGCTGTATTGTCCGTCTCAGAGCTGCAGACTTCGTTTCGAGCTGGAGACGAGGAGCTTCGCACTAAAACAGAAGGTTTTTCTTTTACTTTATTTAAGCTTTGTCTGTCGTTGAGGAATTGACAACTGTAACGTTCTCAGAGACAACTGCTTTGCTACAATAATTAAGTGTAGTTTAACCTAGGCTCCTCCCCCTCAGCTCAGCTCTGGGACGTCCTCTCCAGACTGGACACCGCCGAGAAGCTCTCCGCAGGTGACCGCTTCCCTGTCATTATTAATATTATTATTATTATTATTAATGATAATCACATTGAGCTTTCAGAGGCCAGAGTGAGTTTGGCCTCTCCAACAAATCCTTTTGACAGTTTTAGTTTTGGTGTCATCATCTCATGAAACTGTTTCAAAACTCTGTTTTTTTCTGTTTCTATCTGTAGTTTTTTTCCTATGTCATTTATGAAATGAACTTTTATGAGAAGTTTGATCATCAACTATAGTTCAAATGCAGTAGTTTCTCTTGCTTGGTCCTGGACTGGTCCTGGACTGGTCCTAGACTAGTCCTAGACTGGTCCTGGACTGTAGTTACCATAGAAACACACCATTTACTTGCAGCAGTTATCATTTAGCCTTTACATTTTTTTTTCTGTTGTTTATATTCACAGATTTTAGCTTCAATTTACTTTTAATAAAGATTTTTGAAGGGAATTCTATTGGTTTGAATTGGAGCAGTCAAAATGGTGGCTCTGTTTCAATTGTTTCAGAATGTAGTCTCTCAGCCCCCTTCTGTCAGTCCTAAAAGCTCATGACCGTGACTGAGCAGTAAAGAGAGCTTTGAGTGCAGCCGCTGCTCCCTCTTTGCCCTGAGTCCAACAGACTCTAACCACATATTGTTGTGATCTCAGCTGTGAGCTCAAAGCTCGAGGAGACCGAGGACGCACTGAGTCACATCAAGGACCGAGCAGACGGTAAAGTTGTGTTTGTGTTTCTGCTGTCTAATAAAAGTTGACTGTTGTGTTAAACGTTTGGACAGATGTGGACCAGAGCCTGAGACTGATCCAGGACCAGCTGCACTCGCTCTCCACAGGTCACAGCTCAGCATGGCTTTTTAAAAACTATTAAAACAGTTTAAATAAATGTTTTTGTTTTCAGACGTGAGGCAGAGGTGGAACTCCACAGAGGACGCGCTGCAGCTGCTGTCACTCTCTGCAAAAGGTTCAATTCAATTTATTTGTGTAGCGCAACTATCTAGATCAGAGAACACGGGAAATGCAATATTTGCAAATACATGGGAGCCATCGTCTGGGAGTGAAGCTGTAGATCCAAACCCTCTCATGTCAGAGAAATCCTCTGTTTCCAGGTCTGGGTCTCAGACTGGACCATGGACTGGGTCTAGTCCAGGATCTGGTCCGAGAGACGTCTGTGCTAGAGCTGAGGATGAACCAGACCAGGGCCCGAGTGCAGGACGGACTCACAGGTAACCATCATCAAACTGTGACAGAGGCAGTTGGCTCTTGAGTTTACTCTCTGGTCTTTGTCTGGTCTGGTCTCTTGTCCCTGGTCTCTAGTCCAGGGGCCTCCAACCTTTCTTGTTTTGCATCCTGAGTTGCTTTCTGTTTTAACTGTGCTCTACAAATAAACATGTATTGCTGCCTTGCCAACTGTTATTCATCTTCAATATTAAATATGAACAGCTACTGGTATCTCCCGAGCTACAGGTGTGAGATCACGTCTCTGGTCTGTAGTCTCTGGTCTGTAGTCTCTGGTCTGTAGTCTCTGGTCTGTAGTCTCTGGTCTGTAGTCTCTGGTCTGTAGTCTCTGGTCTGTAGTCTCTAGTCTGTAGTCTCTGGTCTGTAGTCTCTGGTCTGTAGTCTCTGGTCTGTAGTCTCTGGTCTGTAGTCTCTGGTCTGTAGTCTCTGGTCTGTAGTCTCTGGTCTGTAGTCTCTGCTCTCTATTCTCTGGTCTTTGGTCTCTACTCTCTGACTGTGTCTCAAGTGTGTTTGAGTACAATATTTTAAATCTATATGAAGTCTAATCTTGTTTTTAGTAATTTTATTTATAGTAATCTTGTTTATAATAATTATTTTAATATTAAAGGTGCCATATTTAGTTTTTCTTCCTTTTTCACAGGCCATTCTATGCACATGTGTGATAATAATTTGGGTGATACACCGTACAACACTCAAAACTTAACAAATTATAGCCATTTTGTGCATAGAGCTGATGTCACCTCTTGTGAAACAAGCTGATCTGTGCTCCTCTGGCTGTGAGCCTCTCAGGAACGAAAGAGAAAGACCGCTCTCTTACTAAAGCTTAAGAGAATCTTTGAAGAAACTACTCTGTACATGTGTAAGAGGCCAAATAGCTCTGTAATCATCTTTAAACCAGAGAAAAGACAAAAAGCGTAATGTGGGACCTTTAATCTTGTTTATAGTAATCTTGTTTATGGTAATCTTGTTTATAATAATCTTGTTTATAGTAATCTTGTTTATTGTAATCTTGTTTAGAGTAATCTTGTTTATAGTAATCTTGTTTATTGTAATCTTGTATTTTATTCATGTTGGTGTTTTGTTGTTGCAGACGTTACAGAGCGACTGGAGCAGCTGCACACTCACTCAACAGGTTCATCACTTTCTATTTCTCAAACTCAAATATCTCGACTTTTATCAAACAATTAAACTTTAACTACAACTCTAACATTAAAGTTAGTGTACGTAACTTTGGAGCCACAGCCATGAATCTACTGTTTCGTAATATAATATAACTCGTCCCTGGCTCGAACATGTCTATAGATGAAAGAGAGGACCACCCTCTCTCAGCCAATCACATCCCAAAGAGGCAGATAGTAACTCACAGGGAACTTCCTGACTAACGGTGTTGGGAGTAACCAGTTACTTTTGTAATTTTTTCCTTGAATAACTCTACTCCACAGATTTTGATTCACACCACAGGTACATTAGTGACATAATTAGAAACAAATGTGAGTCTAAAAAGATGAGGATAACGCCTGGATTTTGAGGTTCTGATCTTCACAACGAGGCGACTGTAGCGTGAACTTGGAGGAGCTGGATTTGGCTGGATGACAGGTCGACTGAAACTTGTTGCTCCATGTATTTAATATGAATCTGTTTCATTTAAGTCCTGTACCAAAGACTGAACTCTACAGAAGACAGACTCTCAGAGCTCTCCAGCACAGGTGTGTGTGAGAGAGAGTGTCTGTCTCTCTATGTGTCTGTGCCTCAGACTCAGACAGTTGTGGTTCTGCAGGTGTCCAGAAGGTGGCGTTCTCTGTGGGGCTCACAGACTCTGGGGCCGTGGGGCCTTTCGACTCTGAGACTGTTCTGAAGTTCAGCAAAGTCCTGATCAATGAGGGCTCAGCGTATGACCCCAGCACAGGTACAGTTAACCTGTTAACATGTTAACACCATAAGGACAAGCCCCAGTGATCCAAGACGGCGTCCTATTCAAATGAATGGCTTGTGCTCAGTAGCGTATCGCACATGCATGGGGGACCGAAAGATTTGCGGAATTCGCCTATATTGGGCATCGTCTGGCCCTCCCGGTTGTGCGCAGTGGACGAGCTCCCATGATACATTGCACCAAATACGCGTGTGTGGCTCTCATGCACGTGCATGACCAACCAATTTCGCCTCCTGTACTGGCGACCCCACTTCCATCGCTGTATGGAGTGAGAGGACAAATGCTCAAAAAATAACAATTGTAAACCGCTTTGTGACTCTGGTCTGTGAAAGGCCGTATATAAATAAAGATTACTTACTTACTTAATCAGCGCCGCTGATCAGAGCGGAACTGGAGCAGGAGCCAAACGAGCAGAGTTTGTGGCACTAAAGTGTGTATTTAAAGAAAGCCCAAGGATTTAAGAAAAAAAGTTCAGGATGACAAGGGACACTAAAATCCCCACAAAATCCGACCTCTGCGAAAGCTGTAGGTTCTCTGTCAGCTGAGGATGAGCCGTTTTAGTTTATATAGAGTTTTATGGGGGACATTTTTGGGTAGCCCACATGAATTTAGTCTTGTTTAGTCTGCTGTAACACGAGAATCCCCGGAGCACATGAGTCCTTCAGCTCTAAGCTAGTAATACCCTATCCAGTTATTATTACAGATCCATGTATAAGGGTGACAGAACAAGTACAGCTAGCCTGTTAACATGTTAACACCATATAAGGACTACCAGTACAAGTACAGCAAAAAAGTCATGGTACATGGTCTCTGGTCCTCTGGTCTATGGTTTCAGTATGGTCTCTGGTCCTCAGGTCTGGTTCAGGCTCCAGTCCCTGGTGTGTACTTCTTCTCCTTCTGTGTCTCGGACTTCCTGAAAGGTTACATGGGTGTGTCTCTATGTCACAACGATCGTCCAATCACCTTCAGTTTGTCCCTGAACGCGCACGGGGGCTACAGCTCCGTGTGCAACAGCGCCCTCCTGTGGCTGAAGGCGGGAGACACCGTGTCCCTGCGGCTCCCCGCGTCCTACCGCCTCTACGACGACCAGCGCGACTTCAGCCTCTTCACCGGATTCATGCTCTAGACCTGCTTTAGCCTGGGTTAATCTGAATCTAGGTTTAATCTTGGTTTAATCCCGATTGAGTCCTGTTTATTTCACTTAAACTGGACTCAAACTTAAACTGTTTCCATGTTTCTGCTTGTATCACTTTTCTTAAGCTCTGTGTGAAGAGTGCTATACGATTAAAGACTATTCACATAACATGGACAGGTCCTGATCTTTTGTTTCTCAAAAAAATTGATCTTTTGTTTCTCAAAAATGGGGAAAATTATACAAGAATTATTTATTTTGAGAAAGAAATCTCTTCTCTTCCTCCTATCCCCTCTCTCTTTTCTGTCCTCTCTCTCCTCCCCTCTTATCTCCTTTCATCACTCACAATCAGCTCTAACAGTTATAACAGAATGAAAAAAGAAACTGTCTGTAAAGGAGGCTCTGGATTGCACACACATGAGCACAAGAGGAGCACTGCTGATATCTGAGCGCGTCACTTCCTGCTATATTTGTTTTGCGAGTCAGGGCAAGCGTAAACTCGAAACTGAAAGTAAACTCCATTTTGTGTCTGCGCGGGTCCGGACCAGTTCTGGAGAATAAGAGACCAGAACCGTGTTGGACCATCTCCCCCACAGCCTGCTCGACACCCTCAGGCCCCTGGTCCATCTCACACCCGGAGCGAGGAGCCATGACGCTGAAGAAGGACCTGTGGAGTCAGTGAGTGCAAGGCTAGAGTGAGGCGCAGGTCTCGGGCAGAGGACGGAGCGGGGCCCAGGAGGATTAGGGAGTCCCACATTTACAGGATAGAGAGCCTTGTTCTACCGACAGGGCTGTAAAACATATACAATTTTAGTGAAGAATTTATTCCATATTAGACCTTAAAATAGATCATAGGTTTGGTCCTTGTTCAGACGCGTCTAAGTGTATCACAGACCTGCTACTGTTACTGCTGCAGTACTGCTCACACTCACCATTTTAAGCCTTTTCAGTCAAATATTGTATAATTTTTTTCTATATCTCGAAATCAAGAGGAATGTTAATGGTTTTTTTCCCCATCAAACTACTCGCTACAACTATACTTCTACTAATGATAATAATATAAAAATCTATTATTTGCTGCTGGTCGCCTATACATCTAATCATTATACTTTGTAAATAACAAATGCTTAATAAAAAAGGGTACATAATTAAAAGTAATTACAGAATGAAGTTGTGATCCGTACGTGTTTCTCAGCATGAATCCTGTTTTTAGAGATGGTGCACGTACCTGCTGCGCTGCACAGAGAAGAGAATAATCTGAGTCCGGCCTGTGAAAGGAAGGAGAGAGGAGAGAAATCTGAGAGTACGGCCCTGTTGAAAGAGGGAGGAGAGAAGTGGGAGGGTCTGGTGTACAGTCTGGTGCTGGCTCCAGATCGCTCCCCTGTGGTCATAAAGAGTCAGTTTAGAGCTGAGGTGCCTCACTCTATTTGGTCCAGGAGCCGAGGTTGAAGGTCCTATATATATTTTCTTATTATTTCACAGTCCATCCTAAGCACATGTGTGATAATTATTTGAGTGATACACCATACAGTCATTTCTTGCACATAGCTAACCCTTTGTAAACACAGAACTATTTAGCTTTCACCAATACATTATCATTTCAAACCTGAGAATAAACTTTTTCAAGCAATGATAATCCATCACATAGAACAGGGGTTCCCAAACTTTTTTCCCACGACTTCCATGTTAAATGCTGCTGCAAATCAATGGCTTGTGCTCAGTAGCGCATGGGCCCTACATGGGGGCCTCATGCACGTGCACAGAGGGGCTGGGCCGTGCCGTGCCTCACAATAGAGAAATTTACATTATCTTATTTTGTTAAGCACCTTAAGTAGATAGACTGTCTTGTGTGTGAACTGCGCTATACAACTGGTCTTGCCTATTAACATGTTTTGTGTGTTTCTACAACATTTGATGTCGTCACTGAGGAGATTGCTGGATTCCATCTCCAGACTAGACTTTTGAGTGGAGTTTGCATGCTCTGTAGACCCAGGACTGAGGCTGTAGATCCAGGACTGAGACTGTAGATCCAGGACTGATCAGTTTTAGGCTGTTTTTTTAGTCTTAATGAGGCCTTTGTAACATGTCTGATCTTCTTATAGAGTCAGACTGTCGCGTGCTCTGAGTTGTGGCTCGGTCAGGACTGTGGACTGGAGCTTCAGGAGCAGGTACACACCAGTACACACCACACTCTTCTCGTTCATGACCATTCTTGAGTATAGGCTGCTACTAGTGTACACAACCAAAATGTGGAGCAAAACATTTATAGTCGAGGTTCATTTGCACTTGCACTGTCTGTTCCTTGAAAGACTTTTAACACAATTAAAACATATTTGTGGTGAATCTCCAAGGCTGCAGTCACATGCAAAGCCTAAAGCCTGGGTAAAGTGGGCCTGGTCCCACTTTAACCGGTTAGATCTAACCGATCAGATGCAACTGGACTTGGACACGGTTGGGAGAGTTGGGCCTGAGCACACTTCTAAAGCCCAGATGAGGGGGGGTCAATGTGGTGGGGACTTGATATTTTGCGTCACATTACGTCTTACAGCTGCGCCCGTTGTGACATTAATTTTCACACATCTCTCCCTGCAGTCGCATGCTTTCATACTCTCCCTACTCGTGTCTTGTGTTAGTGAGCTGGACCGTGGTCGAGGAGCGCAGGGGAGATTTGTCGGACCAGAGCCAAAGAGAAACATTTCCAACTGGGATAGGAGTTATCCCAGTTCTGACCCTCTCTGTCACAGTGTGGTGCTGTTGCAATAACACTTTAGACGTTCAAGAATCAGACTTTATCTTATCGCCAGAACTCACCAACACACACTTGTATCCTGCCTGGCTCCAGTCGCTCTGCTCGCTTTCATTCTCATTCATTTCTCAGCGCTTATGCTCTATCCACCGAGAGTAAAGATTAAAGCTCTTGGTTCGTTCTTAGGTTTTCCAAGGTTCTTAGACTTTGGAAAACAATGTAGTTCTAAGGCCGACCAGTAGTGGGCAGTGGAACTTTACAACACGACACAAGCAACCCCCAGCAGTATACTCACTTCCTCAACAACATCCTCCTCAGGCGCCGCAAAGACGTGAAAAAATGCGTCAACATTATTCTGCATTTTACAGCAGCTGCAAATATGGAAACTGAAACTACAGCTTTGCATGATTTTGTATGGACGAAGGAGTAGAATTATCCTCCGTCTAGTTAGTGTACCCGCCGTCATTGTTGTTTACGTTTGTTCTCGGCTACTGCGCATGTCCAAATGTACGTGAGGGAGTTCACACATTTTTCTTCATGCCGCTGAGCAGCGTATCCAATCTGTTCCACTCTGTAGCTGGTTCTCAACGCTGGCGTTTTCACGCCCCTAAAACCCTGTCTTAATGTAAACAGAAAGCCAAACCGATACCAGACTCTAACGTTTTACTGTCGCTGCGCCTCTGTTTAAACAGGGCCTTAGATTCATCTCTCACTGATCTCTTCTCCTCAGACTCCCAGCCGCTCTGTCCTCTGAGTCTCTGAGGAGCGACCTATCCAGAGACCTGGGGCCTCAGTTCAAGGATCCAAGGGCCACCTGGTGAGTCCTCAGGTCCTCTCCCTGTCCTCTCTTGGTCCTCGCCTGGTCCTCTGCAGGTCTAACCATGTGTTCCTCTCAGGTCCCCTGGTGTCAGCTCCAGCTCTTTACACAACGACCGTTTCACAGACTCACCGCTTCACTCGCCCTGTAAGGAACCAGTGATGAGTCTTACTATCAGAGACAGTCTATCAAAGTACACAGATGGATGATGCTAACACAGGCTGTATACAAAAAAATAGCGGAACCCCCCCATATTTGCGCTTTGCCTGAGTCTCCTGGTTCTGTGCAGTGAACGAACTCCCATGATGCGTTACACAAACATGTCAATTGTGTCAGTTCTGTGCTCTTATATCTAGATTTACAAAGACCATATAAAAATACAAACACCAGGATCAGAGAGAGCGCACAATCCAACCAAAATGTGTGGGACACAAACTGTTTGAGTTGGAGGAGTTTAAATAGGGGCCAGAGAGAGAAGCCAAACCCTATTGGGCTTCATTAAGTTAGAGGGTTATATCTCCATCTGTGTACAGTTTTTGTTAGGATTGTCCATCTGTATTCAATCTATGTTAGCATTGTCCATCTGTATAGTTTGTGTTAGCGTTGTCCATCTGTATCTGCTAAATATGAAAGCTTGTGTTTGCAGACTCTGGGAGCTTCGAGGCCCTCAGTACTGGCTCCCGTCCTGAGAAGGCCCTCATAACCTACAGCATCTCTCGCTTTCTCCTGGAACCTCTGGGCTGAGCTTCACCGCAGCTATCAATTGTTATTAATCAAGTATTCTATCGAATATCTAGATAGATTAATCCAAATAAATCCTATTTATCATAAATATACAATATCAAATGACAAACCATTTACAATTATATCATTTCTTGCACTACAATACTAAGGTTAGAGAAACTCCCTCTCGTGGCAGGACAGGGAGTTACAGGTGAAATCATTATTTGCCTTCAGACTTTCACCATATATTTTTTTACTTGTGAATTTATTTCTGTAGATATGTGATAGAGAAGGTTTTGCAGTGACAGGGGAGGGGCAGTGGGGGGGATTCAAGGGTAAACTTACAGTAGAAGATCTGAGACTGAGACGACACGGGGATTACACAGAATGTCTTTGTGTGTTTTTATGGATGTTTAGATGAGTATCTGGTTTGATTGTGTTGTGCATGTGACACTGGGAGCAGGTCTGAGGAGTAGAAAACTAGTTTCACAGGTTTTGTTTGTGAAACATGTTTCAAACTTAAAATTGTATTGTATTTATGTACTTATTGTATTTTAAGTTCATGTTTTAGGCTAACGCCACACATCTCATAATCAAATTGTATTGTCTACAAATAAGACTTAGATGGCTGAGTACTGTTTATAAATATTGTATATAAATCTGTATCCTACGCCCCAGAGCAGTCAATTTGGCGGCTTAGATTTGGCTTATGAACTTAGTGTCTTTTTTTTCCATTTCATTTTAAAGAACCACACGTCTTGTATGGTTGTGTATATAAATATATTCCAGAAATAAACCACTGAATATAATTAAATATGTAAACATTAACCTACTTTTAATAAAGGATGCAATCTACTTCTGTTTTCACCGTTATGTGAACAGCATCAGACATATGGAGAATAAAGAAGAAAATGATATGTTGGATAGAAACCCCAGAACCCTGTAGTTGTTTCACTTGTTTTATAACTTTGGTATAATACTAAAAAGCTAAACATGTGAACTAACAAACTCCAGACTCTGGAAATAAAAAAATGCTAAAAAACATCTTCAAATGTGTATATAATTGTCAGACTCTAAGCTGCAACCTTTTCTGCAGCAGCGCAATTAATGTATGTTTAATAAGTAAATATCTGGACACAGCTTTAGCAGATTTCCAGCTGAGGATGTCGAACACATCTCTGCTTTCTGGTGAGTTTAGGTAAACAGTTTGTTCTGAAACTTACGTCTTCTGATTGGTCAGTCCTTATAAGGGTCATAACTGGGTTCACTAAGACGATATCACAATATAAGAAAACAGGGTCAACGAGTGCGCAAAACCAACGATTTAAGACTAAAATGGTGTGACAAACGTTACTGAGCTAGTCAATAGGAGCCAGAGAGAGTTGGAGCAAAACTTCGTCCAAGAGGCTTGAGCATGTACAGTAGGCAAACACTGGCTTTGTACTCGACATCTGAATAAAGAACAGCATGTTGGCAACAAAGATTTTAAAGTCTTAACACCAGAAAATGTTTGGCATCGAACAAAAGGCTGTATAGAAAAAGTTGCCATCTTTGTTAGCGTGACTAGTGTTGACGTTACCCTAATTTCTGAATTGGCAAAAAACATCAGAAGTAAAAATCCAGTCCAACTTTCAGTATTCAACAGTTTTAATGAGGTCTGTTCAGCTCTTCCAGAAGTTGGGATTCTGTGCCAGGCGTCTCTGGAAGTTCTCGTACCAGCGCAGGAGGCAACTGGAGGGGACAAAGGTCTCAGAGGGGGCAGGGGTCATTTGGGCCTGGGTCAGTGCGAACGAGGCAGCAAAGTTATACAGACTGTCCAGCATCTTCTGTGAAAACTGCAGGAACGAGTCCACTGACGAGACTGCGGCGTTTGAGACCGGACTCTGCTGCACCAGCTGCTCCAGGGACTCCACCGACACCCCCACCTGAGAGAGAGAGGAGTTAGAGACAGGATATTTATAGCTTCTTCATCAATTTTTTTAAACAATTTTTTCAAGGGACCAATGCTTTAAATAATATCATAGTACATGAAGTTAATTGGATGTGTTGTTGTATAACTCACTGATATAACAGGCCATGACCCTGACTGGGAGCACGCCAGCTAAATACTTAATAATACTTAAATTAATAAATTAATTTATCACCACCAACCATAGACCTTCATGCCCTTTTTTATTTTCAGGTTCTTCTCTATGAAGCGCACACTGTAGAAGAGACTTTTTTCCCCTTAGACACTTTGGACGCGTTTGGTGTAGGGTTTAATCCCGGGACACAGGATTCCCGGGAAATGTCAAAACTATTTCCCGATTCCCGGGAAATGTTATGACGGGAAACGGGAAATTAAAGTTAAAAAAAAAAATCCAATGCGCTCCTATTATAGAGCACGTTTATTGTTGTTCAAAGTTCAAACATATTTCATTTACAATCAACATGTCTACAGCTGAGAGGATGGCTCATAAATTGTGTTTTTGACAACAAATATGGGTCTTAATCGCGCTAAACCACGACTTGTAATGAGGCCAGCCTCAGGGTACGGGGCACATGTGAGCCCAGAAATTGGTTACGTCCAATTCTATCAGAAAGCTCCTTTCTTTTTTTCCATCTGCTAAGGGCAGCAACAGGTTTGGCTAACATACATTTAACACATTTTAAGATCATATAAAATGCATTTAGGGTAATGTTCTGCTTCCAATGACAATAGGAATGATAAGAAAGAGGAGAAGGGTAAGAAGGTTGATATTAGAAATTGGATGCGCCCGAGAGCCGGCTGCAGCGAAAACACAGAGGAGTTTATGGAGGTGGCACCCGTTTTGCTTTACGCTTTAAAACTCTTTGGGCTCATTTCCAAATGGGGGATTACATATCTGCGCTCAAACTATTATCTGGACTTAAACATGAAACTGGTCTGAACTGAAGTGGTCTGTGCTGTTCATTCATAACTAAGGTAAGACCCATCACACAATTGGAAACATGCCTTTTACGAACTTTTGCGTTTTGTTTGAGCAAACAATGCGGGCCATGGAACACATTCTGCTGTAGCCAAACTAATTGTGAATAAGCCGCTTTGTAGGTTCTGTTGATTTATATGATATATGTTCATCTGATTGGGCTGAAGTCAGTGCCTCCAAACCACACCGCACGTCACTGGTCGACAAGTGGATTGCGCAGACTTTTAGAATCTCATAATAGTGAAATTCCTGAAGAAAGCCCATAAACAAAACGTCTGAAAACGCTATGGCTACTTTAGCAAAGCTAGCAAGTCGCTTGGTGAAACACTAGTGGAGATGGCAGCTTTTGTTGGATTATATATTTGAGTGATATCATACATTACTTGGGCTAAAAACAACAACTACAAACAACAGCCATTTCCCGGGATTTCCCGGGATTTCCCGGGAAAGGCGTTGTCTTTTCCCGGGATTTGATACGTCTCATTTTCGGGAAAAATATTAAACCTTAGTTTGGTGTTAACACAGCAAAAGACTATAGCCCCCAAGCTAACGTTACCTCAAGCTTAACATATGTACATTAACATTCGGTTGGCTGGCGTTAGTTATTCATGTTATAGAATAACGACAACTTTGTCAATAGATGGTTTTTTGATGACGTCACGCACTACCCACAATTCCGCAGTCCGCCATCTTGCAAGTCAAGCCGCCGATAGTTGTAGGTAAACAAAGCGCAGCAAATCACTTTTTTGCCGCTAAAACATACCGACTACCTGCGTCGTTTGGGGGTGCAGTAACCGTACAGATTGTGGGGACATTCCGAAGGTTATTACGAGCCAGGGGAGCGACAAAGAGCGACTCTCGACGGAGAGAAGAACCCTTTAGTTGGCGAGGATCAACCAAGAGGGATTCAATCCTAACCCCAAACAACAGCACTATAAGGTCTGTTCTGACCATTTCATTAAAGGTAAGAGCTAGCTAAATCTGTGCTGTGTGGTTTATGTTCAGACAGCCGCGTCGCCAGGAATAGGCCTGGGTAGGTCGGTGCCTACCAGTTTTTTTCCTGGCATACTCAAATTTGTTCTTCGCCTCTCAAGTCAGAAGCCTTTATAAGTCATAATTTAAATATTGCTATTATTATACACAAATTATTGCCTAAATGTTGCGTTCTAATGTTTTAAGAAAATGTAACCCCCTGAGCATCATCATGATCCTACGTTGCTTCAAAATATAGTTCCGTTTATTGGCTGAACAATTTTGTCCAATAAGCTGCATGATCATATCAAACAGTGCGAAACTCATGCGCAAAGCTCGTTCCCCGAGAACAACCAGCTATTCCTCGTCTTAAAGATTGACAATGCTCTCAAAACATTCACAACAGAGTAGCCTTTTTAATTTCAGATTTAAGAAAGTTCAGCGTAAACCTTGTGAGGCAGAGGAGCCAGCCACGGCCCCGTAGGTCACAGAAGAGGTGAGCGCAGTCAGGCCAGGCTCGCCTCGCACTAATGAGGTAAACTCCAGGCCTGTGTGTGTACAGTATGTGGTGTGTATATATGTGGTATACTATATTCTTTGAAACCCCAATTCCAACTACCCCTTGTAGTTTGCGAACGAATTAGGTCTACTTACTAATCTGCAGGGCTATCCATAATTGCAAACCTGGCGCCGCTACTGTGTTCAGAGCTGCGATTTGACTGTGATACCATGTATATATGGGCCTCAAGCGATCCCCTCTAAATCAATGAGAGGAGGAGGGGGAAAGGGTGGTAGACAGACACTTGTATGGCCGTGGGTCAGTGATTTACGGCCTGTGATATCGACTGCTTCGTTCAAAATAAAGTAATGATTGAAAGAAATATAGCATCATATACACAACATGGCGTTCGCGCAACGCATCATGGGTAATGCGAATGTGGCAGAAAACCATCTATTACCTTTGGCTGCAAGTGCCGCCCATTGTACACTTTAGCAGATGGTGCATCAATGTTTCTCAACTTTGTACTTTTGTACATTTCCAACTTGAAATGTTAATTTCGGGAGCAATACGGACATACACACTGTCACAGAGTAGCGGAGTGTCTCTCAGGTGACACCCAAGCGAACAAAATCACCTATGAGGCATATTGGAGTCAATATTTAACAAATGCCATTGGATGCCATTTGTAGGGGTGGGGGGTGGGGGGGGGGGGGGGGGTGGCAGTCAAAACACACATTCCAGACTTTGAAAACGTTCAAATTGGAGATTTTTTTAACTTTCAAATATGTTGCTAACAACAGGCCGAGGAAGACATTTTAAATGGTAGTTGAGAAATTGTCTTGTTCAATGTTTACATTTTTTTAATCTAAATTATGTATCAATTTTGATTTCAATTTCCTAAAGCTCCTTTACTTCCGTCTTATTTGCTAAACTAATAATTGAGAATACTGAAATCATCAGCATTTGATTAAATCAAGGCAAGACACTTAACCCATACCGATTAGTGTGTGTCAGTCAGTGTGCCCCAGGGCAGCTGTGGCTACAGTTTTAGTTTATCGTCAGTGTTAATAATAATGTAATATTAAGTGTTCAAAAACAGTGCACTACTACAGCCAAAAACCATCAAAATATTTCTCCAAATAGATTGGCTAATTTAAAATATACTTTAAATATTGTAGTCACCGCTCATCACTAGTCCCAAGAGACTCCCACAGCACTGGGTCTCTCACCTGAGCCACTGAGGAGGGCACCTGGGCCATGCAGCCGAACGGGTGAGCTGTGGAGGCGTCCCCGGGCTTCAGGCCGGAGATCTTGAAGATGGCGGAGGGTTTGTCGTTGGTGATGAAGCCCAGCAGCTGCCACACCACTGCTCCACTCTCAGGGTCCGGGAAAGAGAAATACACCGCTCCGCCCATCCCCGCGGGGAACGGCACTGTCCCCAACATAAACACCACCACATGGTTCACCTGCTCGAAGTCCGGGAGGTTAAACACAAACTTGTCCGCAGACACTGGCACAGGGTCGGTCTGCACCAGCCGGCCTGCTACGATACAGCCGAACATACTACCGCTGCAGCCCCTCAAACTCCCGACTGTACGTGTGGATGTAGCTGCTTTAGCTTAACACCAACAGCTAAAGCCTAACAGCTAACGGACACTAACGTCTGCCCCATACAGATGCACGAGCTCCCGGTGTTCAGCAGAGAACACCGTGGAAGTCAGTCAGAAGGACTTGCCGTGCAACAGCAGGTTGACACGGCTCCTCCTGCGGGTAAAGGAGGGCCGTGTGGCCGTGGAAAGTTCCAGCAGCACCCCGGACTTTCTTTGCGTTCTGGATGATTCTTCTTCTTCCTCTTAGCGCATTACTGCCTCTCACGGGCAAATAGTGCACTGCAGCTCCCTTTTGCAGGCTAGCTCTAGCCATGAATATATAATAATAATAATAATAATAATATTGTATTATTGATAATGTATATTGTTGGACTATATTATAATTTGTCAATAATAATAACAACCTCTAGCCTAGCCTTAATATGAAGCTCAGCTGGTCTCTGGCTGGGCTCAGATGTAACTTTTAGTTAGTTTAGTGCATTGGCTACTTTTGCATTCTAGTATGGATAAGAATGGACAAAAACTCCTATCTTATTGAGGAGGCGTGGCCGACCTCTTTACAGTCTATGGGTATGAGTCATCATTCTAGACCAGCCATTCCCAAACTCAGTAACACCGAGGCCCCCTTAAAAATCTGAAGGGTCTGCGTGGCCCCCCAAAATAATAACCAAGAAGACAACATTAAGAATAGACTCTTCTGGTTATTTTATTTTGGGGAAAAAGCCTCTGCTACAAACATTGTAATACAAAAATTATTACAGTGGATTATTCAAGTCAAATAATGAACACAAATATTTTAATATTACAAACAAAACATTATAAATTTAACATTAAATAATTATATATATATATATATATTTTTTTTATGACCTCCCGCGGCCCCCCTGCAGTACCCTCGCGGCCCACCAGGGGGCCGCGGACCCCACTTTGGGAGACACTGTTCTAGACCATAGACTGTAAAAAATAAGACGCCTTATACCTTACTGTGTAGTGACATTTTTATTACTCTCTTGTAGATTATGTAGATTATTGCACTTTAATTGTTGAAACTGCATACATCAGCTACAATATGTGCTCCCGCATACCGTATAAATAGCACTTAAACACGTGATTAAAAGCCTGTGCCATTTTTTGGTCGAGTACTCGCGGCCCTGCGCGCCACGGGCCTCTTGAGTGGGACACTTATGAAAGTTTGTGCACCTCAGTTCGGGTAAGACTTGCAATACGTCACAAACATTGTCCCATACATAAAGAAGTGTTTCTCAGCTGTACTTCACCGAAAGTACATACTTTGGCAGTTGAAGCACTTTTTGAAGGTGCTGAGTGGGTCTGATTTTTGATTTTGATTTTTGCACCGGAACAATTGCTGGTTACCATAGAAACACAGTTGGCAGCAGTTAGCATCTGGTTTTTAGCATTAGCATTTTATAAATATATTCACTAGTTTTAACATTAGTTAAATATGAGAACTACTGAAGAAGATGACAAAGTCTGGGAACTTGTCTTTCAGACAGAAGACATGTTTTATTGTTGATGGTAGACGCACGAACACGAACAAGGATTTTACAGACTGCAAGTGATAATATAGCATGGAGGATTGGAGTCCTCCAATCAGCGTTTGCCACAGTGAAAGTAGCTTCAACCTTGAGATAACCAAAACAATGGAAGAGTACTGGGTTGTGCATATTGTTGAATGATGAGTTAGAACTTTAACCACAGTTGCTTCAAAGTCTCATGAAATCTCTAAACTACTATTAATAAATCTGGTGAAAAATTTAACATGTTTGAGGTAAATGTCTTAGATTTAATTTGAATGAGAACAGCCATAATTATGTATCTGGGTGTCAAGAACAAGAATGAAGGGTAAACAAATAATTTCGCGTGCAACTCCCTATGCTGCGACCAGAGGGTGCTGTAAACACTGACTGAAGAAATCAAAACTAATGTGCTAATCTTTTGCTGCTTTGAATGTGATGTCAGAGAGTACAATGACAACATTCTGTTACAGGACTGTGACTGGAGCTTTTAAGATAAGATAAACCTTTATTACTCTCACAGTGGAGAAATTTCAGTGTCATCGTTGCGCACATTACAGCAGAGAAAGGAGATAAGAGCCCTCAGATTGCACACATCAAAGTCTATTATTTAAGATAATAGACAATAAATTTAAGATAAAATAAGATAAACTCTGGGCTATAATTGCACTTGGTTCGGAGTATTTACAGATGTCTATATTATACATTAATTTTACACAGAAGGGGCAGAACTACATGTTTGTGCGTGAAGTTCCTGATATTAGCATGGATGGAGTTAAAACTCCAAGTTTGTGAGGAGTCACCATCTGCCTCTTTGGGCAGAGAGCTGATTGAGTGTGGGTGGTCCTTTGTTTAACTTATCTGTCTGGAAAAGCCGATCTAAAGATGTGACTGCAACAGGAATACATCAAACTGAAACTAGGTGTGCAATTTAGGTACCCAAGCTTTAACAGCTGTTTGAAACCCTGCAGGCAGGTGTCCAGCTTCTGCTTCTGCTTTGTGTTCAAAGAAATATAATAGTTATTTAATAAGACTCAGGCTGATGAACCCAAACGAACCAAACAAAAGCACTTTATTAAAGCAAAAATCTCCCGGACATAAAAACACACACACATCCTTTTCTCCGATATTTTCTCACATATTGCATCTCAAAGGCCACTTCCACAAAAACAATAACAATTAACAAAGAGATTATCCCACCGCTTCTGATTGGAGGAGACAGGATCCCTTTGACATTAATATACTCTCATCTCTGTACAAATGTAAACACAAACAAGGCGCCCACAAGCACAGATCACGCCCACGAGCACACAGGCCATGCCCATGCCCATAGTCCCAGGACAGCTAAAGCAGGTGATATGACGAAACATAAACCAAACTAAGAAATGCACTCATTTTGAAATCCAAGTCCCGACAGTTGAATTTAGTCTTCTTTCCACCATTCCTGCTCGGCTTGGCTCGGCTATGTTTGCGCTTCCATTAGGCTTTACTTTATGCTTCTGTCTCTTAGCAACCTACACACAACAAACTAGTATCCGGGGAAATTCCTTGCTAACAATGGCTTCCAATACTAGCTTGATCTGGATAGAACCAGGACCAAGAGGGACTAAAGAAGGACCAGGTACCAGTGGAAACATGCCCAATCAGAGAAGAGTAGTGCTGAGCCGAGCCAGGTAGAGCGGACCACAAGAAAATGAGAGCAGTAGCATAAAGCCGAGTAGAGTAGGGAATGGTAAAGACAGGTAGAGGAGAGTAGACCCCCAAGAAGAGTAGAGTAGCAGAGAGCCGTGTAGAGTACGTTAGAGCCAAGGGCTGGTGGAAACAAGGGCTTTCGAAGCATCTTTAGGAAAAAGTTGGTGAAAAATAATGGCTTAAAAGAACCAATATAATGAATTTTTTGTCATATTGCGGCCTCTTAAAATGCGTGTGTCAAAAATAAACTTTAACTTAGACTGAAAGCAGAATTTTGTGAAGACAAGTTTAGAAAAATATGTTGAAAATGACATTACACTGGGGAGACCCACAATCCTTACACAACTTCTCGAACCCATTTACACACAATACTGGCATCAAACTCATTTAAGATTTTGTTTTTAAGAGGAGCATTTTTATCACAAAGCCCAGTAATAAAATGTAAAGTAAAATAAATAAAAAAATAAATAGTTGCTCCCCTTTAAAATAACCACTGGATGCAAGATAATCTGGGGAAAAACATTTGAACCAATGAGGCGACAGTATGGATGGGTCTAACCGATATTTACTTTCATTGTTGTTTTGTCAACAATGTAGAACCCAGTGTCATGTCATTATTTCTTATTTGGGAAGACATTTATGAACTAAGAAACGGTCTCTCTCGGATGCCGAATTTGTAGCAAATTCTAAAAAACCACATTTTGTTTGAAGCTGATTTTTGTTCACTTTTGATATTTCTCCTGATGAGCTAAAAAGGAAAAACAAGATGATCGCAGCTCTTCCTTTGTCATACACAAATGCAGGTTTATGACAGGGGTGATGTGTTCTTAAAAAACACACACACAATAAGATAAATCCACTCAGTAGTAGCCGTTTGTTTACACTTTTCTAACCATCTGAACTAACTACTGCTGGAAAGAGACCAGCAAGAGAGAGACCCAAGAGGCACCACTGTACACTTTCAACTAATGGAGTAATAAGGTTTTGCTTTACGTAACAAGTTTGAGACGTTTGTGTTTAGACAGAAGGGGTGGGGGAATGTGTTTGTGCCAGTTGTGAAGTTCCTGTTACTGGCATGAATGAAGCCAAAAACAGCACACGTTTTTTGATTCAGGAAACTTTTGGAACAAGGTTAAAAAAATGTAGCTTGATGTCTTCCACATTTTTCAAAGTTTTTAAATCGCCATAGCGCCCTTCTTGAGCTTATAAAAAAAAAAAAAAAAAAAAAAAACATTATTTTGATTCTTTGTCCATAACAGTCAGTATACCTTATTGCAGTTATTGTATTAGCCCTAGCCGGGACCGAGCCGAGACCGACTGAGACAGGACCGAGACAGAGACTGGTGAAACTGGAGAACGTGGTGTATAAAAGCCCTGGCTGAGACTCTATATATTCTGGTAATTTTGAAACAAAAGAAAATGACACAGATCGGCCATTTTGTGACTTCCTACAATCACAAAAACAAGCCTCTCAGATATTCTGATTACATGATATGTAATAACAGAGGAAGAAAACTAACTGGCGGACATTTTGTGACTTTGTACAATCACAAAAAAGAGTTTCCACTTTTGGAGCGGTATGTTCAATAATAGATTCTCTGTTACTGCAGGATCCAAACATGGAGTCATTGTTTATTCTTTGGCATCTCAGCCGGTGATGCTGTGGTAGTTTTCATGGTTACAGAGGAGGCTGAGGTGGTATCCATGGTTACAGAGGGGGCTGTAGTGTTAGTATGTGTCTGTAGTATCTCCACAGCGCCCCCTGCCTGTAGCTCTAACAGTTCAGACTCCTTGTCCTACGTCTCATCCTGTTCCCTCCTCTGTCTGTAGAGCGGAGCGTTGATGCTGTGGAAGGCGGGTACCCATCGGTTGTCATGCAGCCCCACGTTGCAGCCGGGCTGGTCGCGGCGGTCTCCATGGCAACACATCCAGAAGCCGGGGCCGTATGGCAGCGCTTGGCAGAACGGTTTGTGGTGCCAGCGGCAGAGCGACACGTCCCCGCGCCGGCGGCGGCGTTTACACTGTTTACAGGGGTCGTCACGGTAACGTGGGTCACGTACCCACAGCGCATCGCATGGCCGCGGGTCATACGTGTTGATGACTAGCTGCAGATAACGGCAACTGCACTTTAGCGCCGCCAGAGCGTGCGTCGGCAGCAGCAGCAGCAGTTGCAGCAGCAGGTGATGCGGCAGCAGAGACAGGAACGACACAGAGGACCGCGGCTCCAGGAGGCTCTGCACACGTCGTCGCATAGACAGGAAGTCCCACCCGCCAGGCCCCGCCCCCTCAGAGCACAGGCTGAAGGCACGCGTCACTCTCCTGCAGCGGCGCCGCTCGGAGCCGACATCAGAGACCGAGCGTAGCACTGCGGCAACAGGACGAGCCAACACCCTGCTTGCTGATTGGTCTGTCAACATCCTGCACTCTGGTTGGATTGCATCTAAGGAGGTGTCTGACGGCAACTTCCTGCTCTGTGATTGGTCGTTTTCCTCAGAGTTGAACCAATCATGCACCACCACTGGGCAGGACTTTCTCTTCTCTGATTGGGCAATGCGGCGAAGCCTCCTGCGACGCGACTGGCTCTCGAGAGGCAACAGCGTGATGGTGGCCTCTGATTGGATGCAGAGCTCAGAAACAGTGACCGGGCAGGACTTACTCATCTCTAATTGGCTGAGGGAAGTGCTGTTATGTGATTGGTGGTTCTTATTGGTAGAAGCCTTGGCAGCGTTTAGACAGCTCTTCTCTGATTGAGCAACATCCCTGCAGCCGGACTGGGCTTTTCTTATAGGACTCGGGTCATGAGTGGAGGCGGGACTTTGAGAGCACCGGCGTTTCCTCTTTTCTGATTGTTCGGAGGAAGAGGCAGCGCTTCGCGATACAGAACACTGCTTCCTAGTTTGAGATTGGGCCGAGAAATCGAGTGACAGAAGCACAAACGAATCAGAGCTGATGATGCTTTCTGATTGGACAGCAAGGTCTGGCGTGAACACAACCAAGGACGAATCAGAGTTTGGAGACAGGGAGGCGGGACTAGGGGCTTTTCTCTGCTCTGATTGGACGCAGGAAGGCGGGGTCAGGAAGAGCAAACCAGGCATCGGCTCGTCTTGCGTCAGAGATTCACAAGAGGTTTTGGTTTCAAGCACAGACGCGGGCGAGCTTTTCGCCGCCACCGTCTTTGCGCAAACTGCTGTCAAAGTTTTGTCTGGTTCAGCAAATTCAGTCGCTTTTATCTCGCAAAAATCCTCCACCATTCCATCCAAAATCTTTGCGGACGCTGCTTCAGGAGCGAATGCGCTATCCAGTGTTGATTTGTTCGGCGAGTTTGCTTCCGATTGTGGAGTTTCTTCACACGTTTGCGTCTCGTTTGGTTTCGTTTGTGGAGGTGTGTCCTGTTTACAAAGCTGTAAGAGTTCAGAGTCGCAAGATGGCGGCAAATTGGTTCTGCCGGACGCAATGGCGTTACTGGTTTTGGACAAAGACGTGGATGCAGGTGTAGCAGACTTATTAGCAACAGCATTGTTAGCATCCGCAGCAAAACATGTAGTAACATTAGATTTAGCTGCTCTGTGGGAGGGGCTGGGTGTGGCTTTAAGCGATTGGGAAGATGCGAGTGGTTGCAAGTTGATCCCATGACTCTGGTTCTGCTCGGCTAACAGAACGCGGCCAACAGCTCTGCGCTCGTTTTGACTTCTTCGCCGCAGACACTGAGACTCGAGTTTGGCGACCATATCGGACACACTGACGCTGTCCGCTTCCTCTGGCTGCTGTGTCGTGATTGGCTGGACTGAGACTGTGGGAGGAGGGGCAGCATTATAAGGGGGAGGGGCCCTGGAGAGAATGATGGACGCAGAGCTTCGGAGTTTGGCGAAGCGTGGCGAGCAAGTCACAACGCGGCGCTCAAGAAACGCCACCATCTCGACCACAGAGAGTTTAGAGTCGTCGTCAGAGGAGTCCGCGGGGGGGAGAGGAGAGGGGGGCTCTGCTGGGGTGAGAGGGGAAGGGGGTTCCGAAGGGGGTTCTCGGATTGCAGGTTGCAGGCTCAGAGTGACCACGGCCTGCGGAGACTGCAGCACCGCGGCCGGAGCTGGGATCTGGCTGGTTCTCCTGCGGCGTTTGGCGGAGACGTCCCAACTGCCTTTAGTCTGTGGGAGAGAGACAGTTGTGATGTCATAATGTAATGTCAAACTAGCAATATCAGATTTGTAGGTTCTTGCACACATTCATATTAGGACTGGGCAATAAATTGAATTTTGGCAATTCAATTCTTCACAAATTCGATTACAAAAAAAAATCGAATTCGCGGAAAGATAAAAAATGTCGGTGACTTTAATGAAAATTGACTTAAAATCAAAATCCTCCAAAGCAGGAAATAAAATTTAGATTTTACTTTTTTCCGTACAGTATCATATTTGTTGATTCGTTACATTGTCTTCTGTGTATCATTGCGTTGAACTGTAAAACTCTTTGCTTCATTGAACCCATTTTCAAATAGTGAGAAATAGTGAGACAATATGAGAAATAGTATTCTGCAGAACACAATTTTCATATTTTTGTTAAAAAAAAAAAATCAAACTAACCAACAACATTTATCTGTGTTGTGAATATGCATATAGTTGGAGTTTAGCATCAAACCAGTGGTGCAATTGGGCTTTTAGTTGCAATGTTCTGACAAATGATAATGAATCTAATCTAATCCAGAAGTTCTGTATCAGAAACGTTGCAGTAGTTTTAAGACGCAAGTAAACATGTGGTTATACTTCAGTCATAAAGTCCACACTCCCAGTTCATTATTGAATATCTTTATCCAACAGATAAAGAGTCTCATAATGATGTGGTTTCCCTGCTCAGTTGTGAAGCAGAACGTGTGATTCTTTTGAGGAGAAAGACCAAGAGAGCATAGACAGAGGCCCTAAGTCCCTGTTCATTAAAGGGTTTGTATTTACTGTCAGAGAACCTTCAATTTCCTCTATTCTCACTCTGATCCTGATGAACACCTGACAGTTAACCCAGGGGTCATCTGCCCCTTAAAGCTGCACTAACTGACTGAGAAATTTTTGAATGAGAACGCTGAGCTCGCGCTCTCTGCTCGCCCTCCCCGCACGGAGCTTTCACCCCCCACTAACCCTCTCCCCCTCAGCCTGTGCTCGAATGCTAAATGTATACGGAGCTCACGTCTCACAATATGGATCGCACATTTGAACGTGGATGGCGTGGCCATAGAATGATAGAACCGGTGAAGAAGATGACAAAGTCTGGGATCGCGTCTTAAATTCAGACAGAAGACATGTTTTATTGTCGATGGTAGAGACAGCACGAACAAAGCACACGATCACAGATACAAGAGAATGCAAGTGTATTATACAGAGCGGAGGCATGGAGACCTCCAATCAGCAGCTTCCACGGTGCCATGTAGCTTGGCCTTCAGATAGACACAACAAGGGAAAAGTACTGGCTTCTGCACATTGATAGAATGATGAGTTTAACTTTAACAAAAGTTGCTTCAAAGTGTTATGAAATCTCATATTCCCCCCTCTGGTCATACATTCACGTGTGACCATCAGGATCGATAAACAGCAACATAACATCATAACTCAATACTTCAAAAACTCATAAACTCTGTACTTCAAAAAACTCAGAACTCGGAATACTTCAAAAACTCAGAAAACTCATAAAACATGTTCAGATCTTTCATAAAACTTGTCAACAATCTTCAGTAAAATACCAAACTTCATCAGTCGATGGTTCCAGATATTGCTTTGAAAACAGTCTCTCCCACTTCTCTGTTGATTCTTCAGGCTGCATTTGTGTCGAGCCATGAATTCTTCTGTGACGTGTCTTTCAATCACACGTTTCAGCTTTAGTGTCCAGATTCAGCAATTCAATTCAGTCCAAATTATGTCCAAATTCAGAAATCCAGATTGTTCCAAATTATGTCCAAATTGTGTAATCCAATTGTTCCAAATGGTGTCCATGCAAAAGAGGACAATGGTGTTGTCCATGTCTCAGCAGCTCACAGCCTGAGTAGAATCAGGGGCTGTGCAGATTGTCCATGTGCTGATCCAGATGCATGGTTTCTCTTGAGGTTTCTCAGTTTTGGCTTAAAAAAAAAACACTTTTTGTGTAAAAAAAAAAAGTCTTCTGTTCTCTAGATGTTACAGACAAGGCCCGCATCCTTCCACCACCTGAAGAAGATGACATAGTCTGGGATCGCGTCTTTCATTCAGACAGAAGACATGTTTTATTGTCAATGGTAGAGACAGCACGAACAAAGCACACAATCACAGATACAAGAGAATGCAAGTGTATTATACAGAGCGGAGGCATGGAGACCTCCAATCAGCAGCTTCCACGGTGCCATGTAGCTTGGCCTTCAGATAGACACAACAAGGGAAAAGTACTGGCTTCTGCACATTGATAGAATGATGAGTTTAACTTTAACAAAAGTTGCTTCAAAGTGTTATGAAATCTCATACCGGGAAGCGCAGAGGAACGAGACTTTCTTTTGGATGGCTGTTTGCTGTGTAAGCAGTAACCGGTAACAAAGACACAGGAAGCTTCAGGTTAGCATCCGCCGCTTGCTTACCTCAGCTGTCTGTGCTAACAAGAGACCTGTAGCTTTTCTCAAGAAAGCGGGGCCAGTGGTCCGCTGTGATTTGTCACAATCTGGACCCAAAACACATTCTCGTCCTTGTTGCACCAAAACTCGATCTAAAATAAAATGACACGCCAGCACAAATCTGCGCTACTTTATCTTCAAAAGGACGTATATCCCAATGCATTGCATGGATATGGATTGAATTTTCGTAACGAATACAAAAATAAAGTCCGGTAATGCAGCTTTAAGGACCAATGCCAAAATGTTTTATAGTTGCATTTCTTAATTTTTTTAATTCTGTGATTTGTGTTAGTGAATTCAACAGTCTTGTGAAGTATTCCGAAATAATCAGTGTTGTAATTTAGGGAAATACAAGAATAAACTGAATTAAATTGAAGCCTCTTTCTTAAACTTTCATTCTCCAGGCAAATTTATCTATAAAAGGCACCCTTCATACGATCCAGGGTGCTTAACGGGTACAGAAAGAACATTGTAAGGCTTGTTAGCCCTGTTAGCTCGCTATACCTTTCTGTCGGTGTCGTGGGCAAACAGGGCGATCTTCTCACGCACGTGTCCTGGTCGAATGACACTCCACACGTCCAGGCTGCCGCCACCGTCTTCCTCTGTGAACACGGCGTTCTCTAAGCCCTTCCCCCGTGCCGCCAGCACAGCGCCCCCCGCAGGACTGCAGCGGAGCGTGTTGGTGGAGAGCGCGGCCAGAGGGAGGCGCTGACTCTGGCTGCGTCTCAGCTGCTGCTGCTGCCCTAGGTCCAGGCGCAGCTCCGAGCGCAACAGCTTTGGGCACGACTTCAGGTGCATCTGCAGAGACACCAAGTCACAACAGCTACTTCAATGTTTTTAGGAAAATTCAGAGTGACTATATTTATCCCACCAGGGGCAATTCATGTGAGCAGCACAGGGCATTATAACAAACACATTGGGCCTTCACTCCCGATTCTTTAATCAAGTAACAGATCGGTTTGAGGTTCAATCACATTTTATTTATAAAGCGCTTTTCATACAAAAGATGCAACACAAAGTGCTTTACAGTTTGGTTAAAAACAATCCCGCCGGCTAATGACCCCTCCCCCCGACCACCCAACAGACCCATCCCAAACCACATGCGTAGACAAACACACACAGACGAACTCATGCCTTCTTACACACCCACACACACACTCTCTCATGAACACTCACACACGCGCACCAGTAAAACAATGATGAGAGACTTGGCAGGGTTCAGATGTAACCAGCTGAAAAAGCGCCATCCAAGGAGCCGTCTGCACCAGGAGCAGAGAGCCGCCTGTAGCCACAGGGGACGACACAGGACCCAGAGGAGACACGAAGCCGAGGCCCCAGGCCCCCACCAGGTTCAAGAGCCAGACCCCCGCAGCCACACCGACCACTGCTCCCAGTGCAGAGGGCTCCTCCAGAGGAAACACTGGGTATACTAAAAACAATACAATAAAAAAGTAAAACACTAAAATGTGAGACTAAAAGGAACTATCACACAATGCATGAATAATAAAATAAATAATAAAAGATAAATAGAATTTATAAAATGGAATCATAATAACTAGTCAAAAGCTAATCTAAAAAAGTGTGTCTTGAGCCTGATTTTAAAAATATGAATGTTCTCTGCGGCCCTGAGCTCCTCCGGCAGACTGTTCCAGAGACGGGGGCCGTAGTGCTGGAAAGATGCCTCGCCGTGAGTGTGTGTCCTGACTTTGGGAATGGTTAGGAGTCTGCTGCCGGAGGAGCGCTCGGGCCGGGAAGGTTCATAGGATAAAAGCAGTTCTGAAAGATAAGAAGGCCCAAGACCATTAAGACATTTAAAAACCATTAAAAGAACCTTAAAATCGATCCTGAAACACACGGGGAGCCAATGCAGCGATTTTAAAACCGGTGTAATGTGGTCCCGCCCCCTGGTCTTAGTCAGGATAAGTGCGGACGAGTTTTCAAGTGTAAACATGAAATGTTCTGAAAGGTTTAACAACTAGATAGGGTCAAGGGGCCGCATAGAAATGTGAATTGGGCCTGATGTGGTCCACGTGCCACACTTTGGCCAGATCTGCTTTAGACAGAAAGGACAGAGGGATGTGTGAAAGTTCAGGCACCATGCCGTAAATGTAACTAATAAACTCCATGTCTGTTTTGAATGAAGGAACAGTGTTGGCAGAAACATACGAATACGATCCCAACTTTTTATTTAACCTTTATTTAACCAGGAAAAATACCCATTGAGATTGAGATCTCTTTTTCAAGGGAGTCCTGGCCAAGAGGTCTGTAGCACACGTCACGGGCACTTTACAGAACAACAATGAAACAATACTACAAAATACAAACAGTGAAACTACAAAACATTTACATAATCCAAAATACTAAAAGGCAACAATTGCTGCCATCTTATCAGAAAACATGCATCTTTTGTGTGAGAAAGAGCCTTGTGAGTCACTATCTGGCTCTTTGGGCTGAGAGCTCATTGGCTGATGGACTTCTCTATTCAGTTTTCTGCTTGAAAAAGCTGATCTACAGCTGTGACAGAGGCCAAAAATACATGAAAACTACTGAGAACAGAACCAAACAGTTTTGAAGAGAGGAGATAGTTTTTTTTATCTCACAGTTCCATAATTGTGATTTGAATGTAGGAACCCCAGCTTGAACCATTTCCTCCAGTCTCTGAAAACACAAGTTGTGGAGTCGTGGAAGCACTTTACACGGGCTCAAAACATTACAGCATCATTACATCATCACGAGAGCTCCAGATGCAGCTGTGGTGTCCTTATGTAAGCGTACTTTAATCTGCAGCAGACTCTGTCCAGACTCAAAATTGGTTGGGGAGTTATCTGAAAGGTAGGAAGCAACTTGTACAGTTTGAACACAGGTCAGTTTTTAGGTACATAACCTTTGGTGTTCCAAAAGGGTGAATTCTGGAACCCTTTTTCTCATGTACCGTACATCAATAAGTCCGCGGAGATTCTGTCTAAATGTACGGCTGAGGTCATTCAATGGTGTATTCAAAACCAGTTATAGTTGCTAATTATAACTAAAACAGTATCTATGTGATGATTCCCCCGACCCAGAAATGGATTAAGGGGAAGAAAATGGATGGATGGAGTATCTATGTGTTTATCTAAGTGAGACAAAATGTAGAACAAAATTTCAGATTAATTTGCAAAACAAAACCATAAAATCAGTAACGGATTTTAAATACATTGGATTGATCCGTGACCCAAAATAAAAATTTGACAAACCTCTAAAGAAGATATTGAAAACTATACAACCCTAGCAACTTAAAATATTTCAAACTTATTATGCCGCGTTCAGACCGGATCATGCGTTGCGTCGGCTTTCAATGCAAAGTCAATGGTGACGCGCGTTCGAGCGTCAAAACGCACAAACGTCTCGGAATGCACGCACTGGGAAGTGCTGGGAAGTCGAAGGGGAGGAACACAGGAGATGAATTTTGCTCAACCTTTCCTCGCTACATCAGGACTAAACCAGGATTGACAATGGGGGACATAGTGCTTGTTAACATGTGAGTTTTCATGCTCCCGTGACTTTATTCAACTGCTTCGAGTGTGTTTGCCGATGCGGAAGTACCGTTTAATAATAAAATAAGCGTATTGCGCACCTCCATGAACACATACTACTGTTATATAAAGTCCGTGGAAGGTCTCTGAACACAGACAAGCTACAAAGCTGCATTATTGGAGAAGATCTGTACACAAGACGCCGCTAGCTAAACTCTGTTAGCATCAGAGCCCGCCGGCTACTTCCGGCACTTCCGGTGCGCGCCAGGACCACTGGTTTGAAGAACCCTGCGTCTGAAAACTAGAAAACGTGCGTTTCAGCGTTGCCGGTCTGAAAGCACCATAAGACACTATATTCCAAACCAGGCCACCCTGCGCTACATGCATGCTATGATATTCTTGCATATATCATACAGCATGACAGCATGGGCCCAGGCCACGCCCTCAGCCACTAAATACATCAGGGGCCGTATGCCTAAAAATTCTGAGAGTCCTCTCAGAATCTTAACCTAAAAACTCCAAGCAAGGAGTCTTAGCTTAAAAGTTATTCCAGAACATTCTCAGAGAACTCTGAGCAGGAAATGGACAAAAACTCCTATCTCAGTGAGGAGGCGCGGCCGACCCCATTGCTAGGTTTGAGTCATCATTTCGGACGTCGTGATTGGTTGATCCTGAAAGTTAGAATACATACTTTTGGTGATGATGGGAAAAATAAGGTCCCTCAAATGGACAAACTGAATCATGGAATCCAATCTTAGGAATACTGTGTCATTGTAAATAATATTCTGCATAAAAGATGGATAGGTAGATATGTCAATGTAAAATGAATGCTGTCAATAGTAAGTTATACCTTTAAAACATACAGAATGTGTGAGAACTTAGGCCCACTTGCACAGTATTAACACAGCGATAGTTATATTAATTTGTTTATAACAATTGCCACGCTTTTACCATTTCTACTCACTTTGGTGTAACGGGGGTAAAATGGCACAGCTATGATTGCTGACCAGCCTGTAAGAAGCTGTGTTGGTTGACTTTCAAATATACCACTAACAAGAGAACAACAATGAAGAATAAAAGAAAGAGGAAACTGGACAGAGGAAATGTGTTTGCTTCTGTCTCATTTGGTCAATGAGCATAAAAGTGTTTTGAGAGGTAACATTAGCCCCCACTGTCCTCTATGATCTCTCCTGTCTTTTCCTCTTAAGAATCTCTTAAGTCACTAAAACTCCTCCTCTCTACTCTAAAGAGATCTCACTTTAGGAGTTCTCTTAAGAGTAGCTTTTTCTTAACTAGGATCTACTCCTCATTTTTAGAAGAAATTCTAAGAGTAAGACAAGATTCTAAGAATATTCTGAGAATTTAGACACTAGGAGCAACTCAAAGCACTAGCAATCTTCAGAAAAATCAGAATCAAACTCTAAAGATCATGGACCAGAAGCCAATCTTCTTTCATCTCTGCAGTATTCTCCAGAAGTATAAATTTCTAAGCTTTGAAAGCTTTAGCGACTTATGTTTTCTCAAAATAACTTTCAAATGTCTCACTCAGTTCATTTATAGAGAGACTGCAACGGAATCACCAGAGGCTCCATCAACAACAACTGTACAGTTCCTTACCGCAAAACTTCATTTAGTCAGTCTGCATTTACATATAGAAGTGCAAAGTTGTGGAACTCATTACCCACCGATTACCCATTTAAAACCACGACTGGGTTTAAAATGTTCACTTCTCGAGTTAAGTCCCGGCTGAAATCGAAACAGAATTGTTCCCATTTGTAAAGAGCACTGAGTTTGTGTGTGTAAATGATATAAACAGTGTAGATAGATACGTTTTTAAAATATTAATGTAGAAAGGAGTGGTGTGTGGTCAGAGAATGTTTGTCCTGTCCTGTCTTGACCCTGTTTTGTGCTTTGCTTTACTTTATTGGTGGGGGTAGTTTGTGGAGATATAGATTTGCTGATGTAATGACGCAGCTCCAGTACAGCAACAACATGTTGCTGATGTATGGTGTGTATAGAGCGTCATGAGTATTAATCTAAAACAAAACATACAGGATCAACAAATAACAGCAATACAACGTATAGAAACACACTTGTATTGCGAGATACATTTGGGGACTCAAACATGAGCAGTACCTTCAGGTTGATTGGCTGCACTTCAGGCGGGTCCCGTTTGATTGGCCGCTTCACATCTCGGAGGCTCACCTCGACTCCGCCCCACAGACGAAAAACAAGAAGTGGCTTGTCAGGCTCTTCCCACTGAGGCTCCCTGGAAAAAAGCAACATGTTTAAGGAAGCTGCTTCTAAACAATCAGTGGATGGTTTCAGGCTGCAGACCCGTGTTTTTAGGCCTGTGTCGAGATGCTGTATCAGCTTGGGACCACAGTCGGAAAGATTGCCATGTTGTTTGGACTGATGTTTTTACAGCAAAACAGACAGGGACATAAATAAAAGGGTCCAAACAAACTTCTGACTTTAAAAATAAGTCACAGCACAGTGCATCCAGGACCAGAGAGAAAGATCAGTGAGAGAACAGAAAGCGCCACCAGAAAGTGAGACCAGAGACAGAGGTAATTATAATGGACAACGGGCGCTCAGTGGGAATGACACTTATGACTACCCTGCAGCAAAATATGAAGGTAATTTCTATCCATCCAGTTTCTTCAGCTATGGTTCATGTTGTTGAGGCACTGTCCTACACCCGTGTTTCCCAACAGGTGGTACATGGACATCTAGTGGTATGTGATGGTATTACAGAGAGTTTCTTATTAGAATGATTCCAAACAGTAAGGAACTACTGTGACATGATAAAAAGCAATTGGAAGACTATTCTGTAAAGATAACAGCCTCTTGATTTATTCTATAGTAAACATTGAAACAAGAACACAATTAAAAACAATAATAAAAGTAGTTTAGGAGGAACTTGTTCTAGTTGCTTCTAAACTGTTTGAGAGAAGATTAGATAAGATAAACTTTATTGATCTCACAATGGAGAAAGAGACCGAACTGGTCCAGGGACTAGAGCTGCAACTAACGATTATTTTGTAATCGATTAATCTATCGATTATTTTACGATTAATCGAGTAATCGCTTGGCTGTGAATTGTGTAGAAAAAATGTATTTTTTCATCACAAAAAGCTAAAGTGGCAACACTCAAGGACGTATTGATGGCGTAAACTTAAAGTAAATGTTTGTAACAGGCTCTTTGTGCTAATTCTGCTATCTGATTGCATGAGACAGACAGATATTCATGAAATTATAAAAACAAAGTCGGTTTTAATCAAAAATACTACATTTTCATGTCATTTTTGCTCTGTTTGAGTCCGTGTGAACCAGAAAACGATTAATCGATTACTAAAATAGTTGTCGACTATTTCAATAATCGATTAGTCATCGATTAATCGATTAGTTGTTTCAGCCCTACCAGGGACAGAAGCATGTGCCCTCATTTAATAAGGTAAGTGTTTTCTTGCTCCCTCTGCTATATGCACCATTTCCGCCAACCCTACCCTGAAGGTTCTTCTAATAAGAAGAACCATCTTCTTGAAGGCTCTATCCAGGCCGAGCTGGTACTAAAGTGTTCTAACTGACAGTGATTGGACCGAGTGCTGCTAGAAGCCATGGTTACTGGATACGATACCAGATACTTAAGTGTAATTGAAACAAAACCAGGCAGAGTAGAGTAGGCCTGGTGAAAACAGGGCCATCAAACGTGTTGGGTCTCGTTGAGGTTTTAAGCCCAGATGCAGGTTAGCTGAGAGCAAAGCATCCATTTCTTCCCCTTCATCTGTTGTCGGGTTGCAAGGGCAGCACTCTGAGCAGACATGTGAAACTGAATGCGTACATTTGATTTTTTACCTCTAGTTAGTGCTCCATTATGTGGAAAGGTTTTAACTGTGAGAATGAAAATGTCTAAATGTGGGACTGGAACTGTGTGCCGATTGGCTGCTGCCGTGTCCACACTTACTTTTTGAACTCACACAGATGTGCCTCCAGTCTCTGCCTCCAGTCTCTGCCTCCAGTCTCTGCCTCCAGTCTCTGCCTCCAGTCTCTGCCTCCAGTCTCTGCCTCCAGTCTCTGCCTCCAGTCTCTGCCTCCAGTCTCTGCCTCCAGTCTCTGCCTCCAGTCTCTCTGCCTCCAGTCTCTGCCTCCAGTCTCTGCCTCCAGTCTCTGCCTCCAGTCTCTGCCTCCAGTCTCTGCCTCCAGTCTCTGCCTCCAGTCTCTGCCTCCAGTCTCTGCCTCCAGTCTCTGCCTCCAGTCTCTGCCTCCATATTAAATAAAAAACTACTCCATTCAATCACCAATTAACTATCATGTCATTCTATATAGACCTAATCAAACAGGTTTCTGAGTTTGAATCAAACCACAGACCACATTTTTCTTTTTTTCAGAGACTCATTTCATGGGCTGGATGTTTTTGTTTTGACATCAGAAATCAAATGTATTCAAATGAGCCCATGAACTTTAGATAATCACTTTAACAGGACTTTAACAGGACACAGATAAAAGCGAGAGAGACTTTGGAAACACTACAGTAATCACATCAGAGAGAAAATAGATTACAACTGAACCTTTGACAAAACATTGTGTTTTTGGACAAAGATAATAATTGGATTTAAGATGTCCTCTTTAATAGTTGAATCACACTGCCTAACATACAACAGGAGCAGAAGGCTGAAATCTGAGCTAATTTATAAATGCATTTGTTTCAGATGTATCTAGACAAGCAGGACAGGGCCTGGTTAGTGCTGTGATGGGAGACCTCTGGGACCAGCTGCAAGCCTGCCACAGAAGGCAGCTACATTACTTCCGGTTCCAGTGTTTTGCTTCCGATCAAAACAATCTGAGTCACTGCTTCACCTTTTTGAATGGTGTCAACTATTCCCTCAGGTAACTCAAGAGTTTAGAGGTTGGCTGATTTGCTGGAAAGATTTAGCTCTAAAAACTCACAAAATGAAGTTATAATGCACTGGAAGGTGCTAGAGGCAGCAGAACTAAAACTTTAAACTTTTGTAGACATAAGTAAGGAATAATGCGTAGGTCATTTCGCGCAAAGGAGGGGTCTGCATCCGCCCTGAAGGTACTTATTTTCCGATAATGACCTGCGTACTATACATTATTCCGCTTATTATACGGCTTAGTGCCAACTGAACACACACAAAATAAACTTCAGTACACTTTTATGAATGCCGAAAGGTTTATATAATCACTGCAAATAAAATAGTTCCCAAAGGTTTTCCCGTGGCAGGCGAGTAACAGTTAGGCTAGCAACTAGAACTCTACATGAAAACAGAACAAAGAATTCTGAACATCAGCGGTGAGTGACCCTTATACAAACTCAACCTAAATCCATAGCTCGATCGAACATGATGTTATTTCATGTTAGTGATTTCTTCCGGGTTTACCACTATCGCTTTTTGTCACATTAAAACAGTATTTTTGTCATGAAAACGTTAACAGATCATTCTGAAAACCTCTGTGCACGTGTGTTATGAATGCATTTGTAAAATGTATTCTCAGATTAACATTTAAATGTGTTGATTGATTGTTATACGTGTCTATTGAGCGTGGCTAGCTCCGATAGCTTCTCTCGCGGAGACAGTGGTAGCAAGGAAAGTGGCCGGACTTCTTGCGGAGTAATCTACACATCTGAATTATGAGCACAGATTGCGTTGCTATAGGCAGCGGTCATTACTGTTTTGAAAGGTCGGTTATTAGGAAATAATGGCCGGTTTAAATTACATTCAAATCAATGGAGCGTTCTACTGCTGCTGTGAGGAGCCGTCTAATAAGCGATAATAATGTGTTCTTATAGGACCATATAGCAAATATTGATAGGACGTTTTTTTAACAGGCCTAATGTTTAGAAAATTCTCTCTCTGGTCCCTCTCATTCTCTATGGTCTCCCTCTCTCTCTAGTCTTTCTCGCTCACTGGTCTCTATCTCTCTCTCTCTCTCTCTCTCTCTGGTCTCTGTCTTTCTCTGTTGTCTCTCACTTAAGCAGTAGTGAGTTCAGGAGGTTAGATAAGTGTATAAAGTGTGAGGTTTTACAACTTTAAAATAAACAGCTGCTTCTGAGAGTTGTGGCGCATTTTCAGAACACATCACCCCTGAAATAAACCAGAAACTAATGTAGAACATTATAGTAAAGAGATTCACTAGACTAATCTGCTGTTGGCCAAAAGAGATGTTCAGAGACCCTCATTCTCAAGACCATGAACCTAAGCACGACCAATTACTTCACACCTGCATTTATGAACTTAGAAGCACTGCTAACCACGTCACACCTGCAATTATGAAGTTAGAAGCATGGTTAACCACTTCAAACTTGGACTGGACAAACTTTTGCCTGTTTAGTGTATTTAGGTTTCGTGTTCACTCAGTATTCAACTTATTTCCTCAAATGCCAGCTGTAGAAAGTACAGATATACGTCAAAAGTGGTCATAAAATTACTATATGCTCAAATAAAGTACACATATGACTAAAATTGACTTAGTTACTGCTCTATGTTCAGACTGTCGTGCTTACGTGTGTCTCCTGTGCTTTGTGAGCGCTGTCTGTCAGTCGCACATTCCCGAAGCTAAAGGCTAAAAACGCGAGCAGACCCTCTTCTCCAGGCGGCCTCCTCTGCACGCATTCTCTGGCTGACAGCTGCCCCTGTCTGGGCCTGGATACCACCAACACATCGTGGCTTCTGCTTGCTCCCTGTTTGACCAGATTTGGTGCAAAAATCCCACTTTAAGACCCGTTATAAAGACGCGAAACACTTCTGTAGAAGTCGCAAAGTTTGACCAGGCCTGTCGAAGTTTCTGTAAACACCGATCCTTTGCGTGATTTAAGCTAAAAAGGAAACTTTAGCAGAAACTAAAGAGTAAATATAGCAAGCCTCGGCGTTCACACAGAAATACGAGACGAAATTGAGGCGTTATTTGTGACTTTAAAGGCTTTTGTGTGCGTTTGGGAGAAGGCAGAGTGGAGTTGAGCGGAGGCCCAGGTCAAACTCACCTGAACCAGGAAATCACTCCGCTTAGCTCGTTGGTTTCACGGTAAAATGGGTTAAATCCGTGGGTCCCGGTGGTGTGCAGGGTCTGGGGACGTGCACAGGTCTGGGTGTAGGCTCTGAACGCTGTTTTTGCGTGTCCAAGAAGAGGGAAAGGGCGCACAGAGCTTCGCAGATCCAAAGCACAGAAGCAGGGCAAAGAAGCTAGTGACGCACGGTCAGCTGGAGTCGTGACGTCAGTGCGCAAACCAGGAAGTGGGAATAATAATAATAATAATAATAATAATAATAGTAGAAGTAGTAGTAAAAAAAAAACACACAAAAGAAATTCACAAAGTGAAAATAGATCAAATCAAAGTTATAAAAGTCCTACATAATATTGATAATAATGATGATAATAATAAAATTAAATGTGTATTTTTTTTTAAAGTGACAAAAATAACAAAGAGGTTATTCAAGTAATGTTCATAGTAATCATATTAACACAATAAATGTAAGTAAGTATGTAAGTATGTAAGTAAAAAAACGAGAAGAATGGTAAAGTAAGAATACCAATTTAAGTATTATTAAAACATATTTTAATTCAAATAGGTTTGTTCATTTAAAACAAAATATATGTTATGTTATTCTCTCTCTCTCTCTCTCTCTCTCTCTCTCTCTCTCTCTCTCTCTCTCTCTCTCTCTCTCTCTCTCTCCTCTCTCTCTCTCTCTCTCTCTCTCTCTCTCTCTCTCTCTCTCTCTCTCTCTCTCTCTCTCTCTCTCTCTCTCTCTCTCTCTCTCTCTCTCTCTCTCTCTATCTATCTATCTAACTAACTTATTATCAATCCTATTATAAATCCCAGGTGTAATGCAAAACAAGTTTGGACACAAATAAAAAAGCTAACAGGAAACTCGTCCTCAAATGGCAACATAAATGAAATTAAATGTCAAAATGAAATTATTACTAAGCCATCAGTATTGGCAAACACATTTAACAAACAATTCATTGACACAGTTAAAAACCTGATTCATCTTCTGCACAGTTGGACATAGTCCCTTCTGTCATGGGCTGAGCACAATGTTTATCAAAATTCATGAGGAATCACTCCTCTCACTCATAAAATGTATCCTAAATGAGTCACTGAGCTCAGGTACATTTTCATCTTTTTGAAAAATCTCATTAATCACATCAATCTTCAAATCAGGGGATCATACAGAGACAAGCAACTACAGAACCATAAGCAAATTGTCTGCAGTTTTAAAGATACTAAAAAAGTGCGTTATATAGCAGCTCACAATACATCTGAACTATAGTCCATTTAATCAGCACCAAATACAATTGGGCTTCAGGAAAAATCCCTCCACGGAGACGGCCGTTTGCTTTCTTATGGAAAAGATGAACATCGATAAAGAAGGTATTGTGGGAGCTGTTTTCCTGGACCTTAAGATGGCATTCGATTCCCAAATTCTAATAAAAAAAACTCTCATTCTTTAACCTATCACCACACACTCTACATTGTCTGGAATCATATCAAACAGGAAGGAAACTATAGTCAAGATACAGAAATCAACATCACCAACATACAAAAACAACCCGGGACTACCTCAAGGTTCTTTCCTATCACTGCTTCTATTCAGCCTGTTTAAAAATTACTTTCCCGAAAGCTGCCCACCCAACGTATATTGCCAACTCTACACAGATGACGGTGTAATTTACGTTCACACAAAAAATAAACATCAAGCGGCTCAAGAATTAACATCCGCAATGTACAACATCTCTGAGTGGCTGCCGAAATCGCAGCTAATCCACAACGTATCCAAAACATTTTATTGTGTGAAACCACTACAGACAGGGAAAACTCAGTCATACTCATAAATAGAACACCAATTGAAATGGTATTAACTTTAAGTACTTAGGAGTTATTCTTGACCCCCAACTTAACTTCAAACAGCAAGCAAATACGTATTTGGTCACCTACAAACAAGATTCCTGGCTCTCACAGACCTGTGACTCCTTCTTTAAAAGGCTTCTCTGTCCTACATTCATTACCTGTATTAATGCACTTGTTTGAACTCGTTAACTGTAAGAAAGACACGTGTCTTCCACTATGGCCAAAATCAAAGAGCTGTCAAAGGGCACCAGAAACAAAATCATAGACCTGCACCAGGTTGGGAAGACTGAATCTGCAATAGGTCAGCAGCTTGGTTTGAAGAAATCAACTGTGGGAGCAATTATTAGAAAATACAAGACATACAAGACCACTGATAAGCTCCCTCAATCTGGATCTCACCCTGTGGGGTCTACATGGTCAAGAATGGTGAGCAACAATCCCAGAACCACACAGGGGGACCTAGTGAATGATCTGCAGAGAGCTGGGACCAAGGCTATCATCAGTAACACACTATGCTGTCAGGGACTCAAATCCTGCAGAGCCAGACCCCCTGCTTTACCTGGTACATGTCCAGGCTCGTCTGAAGTTTGCTAGAGAGCGTTCGGATGATCCAGAAGATGATTGGGAGAATTCACATGGACAGATGAAACCAAAACATAACTCTATGATAAAAACTCAACTTGCCGTGTTTGGAGGAGAGTTGCATCCAAAAGAACTACTGTAAAGCATGGGGGTGGAAACATCGTGCTTTGGGGCTGTTTTTCTGTGAAGGGATCAGGACGACTGATCCGTGTAAAGGAAAGAATGAATGGGGCCATGTATCGTGAGATTGAATGAAAACCTCCTTCCATCAGCAAGGACATTGAAGATGAAACGCGACTGGGTCTTTCAGCATGACTTCACTCCACTTTATTTATATAGCACATTTTATAAAACACGTTTCCAAAGTGCTGCACAGATAAAAGTAACAGATCCCTAACACACCGAGCAATGAAGGAGTGGCTTCGTAAGAAGCATTTCAAGGTCCTGGAGTGGCCAAGCCAGTCTCCAGATCTCAACCCACTGCTCTAGAGGTAATCTGCATGGAGGAATGGGTCAAAATACCAGGAACCAGTGTGTGGAAACCTTGTGAAGACTTACAGAAAACGTTTGACCTCTGTCATTGCCAACAAAGGGTATATAACAAAATACTGAGATCAACTTTTGTTATCAACCAAAAACTTATTTTCCACCTTGATTTTTAAATAAATTCTTTGATGTAATTTTGTTTTCTCATTCTGTCTCTCTATGAAGAAAGTTACAGGCCTCCCTGAACTTTTTAAGTTGGAGAACTTGCACAATTGGTGACTAAATCCTTTTTTGCCTCACTGTATGTGGATGAGGTAAGAGCTTCCTCTGGTGGAGAACACGCAGTTCACAAATTTGTTTAGGGTGATTACACCTAGAAGCCTGGTCCTGGTTCTATCCCAGTAATGGAAGTCATGGTTACCGAGGAATTTCCACCAGATACTGGTTTGTTGTGGGTAGGTTGTGAGGATATGGTACTAGATACTAAATAGAAACACAGCCAGGTGGAGCCGAGCCACAGGACTGCACAGTAGAGTAGTACTTGCTTCTATATTATGCTAAAGCTAGACATTTTATAATCACTAACTTTATCCTAAAGTTAGTGATTTTATTTTAATAAATAGCTATTGTTCACTTATCATGTGCTGTGTGCTCCTCGTTCCCGATGTTCTGTAACTGGTAATTTAACACTGGAATTTCCCCACAGTGGGACAAATAAAAAAATCTCTTCATCTTCATCTAGAGTACAATACAGAAGAGTCGAGTCGAGTCGAATAGAGTAAAGTAGAGTAAAGTAGAGTAGAGTAGAGTAGAGTAGAGTAGAGTAGAGTAGAGTAGAGTAGAGTAGAGTAGAGTAGAGTAGAGTAGAGTAGAGTGGCCACAGGAGCCTCAGCTGAACTCTGATATGAAGCTGGAACATAGTTGTTTGGAGACTGCAGAGCTCATGCCCTGAATCTCTTCAGTCTAGTCCAGTGTTTGTGTTTCTGCTTTTGTGGTTGAAGTTCTAATTTCCATGGTGATGCTGACTCATGCTCTGGATTCTCTCAGAGTGAGCAGAGAGAGGGAGAGAGAGAAAGAGAGACCTTAGGGATAGAGACCAGAGAAAGAGAGACCAGAGCGATAGAGAGATAGACCAGAGAGAGAGAAAGACCAGAGAGAGATAGGCCATAGAAAGAGAGACCAGAAAGAGACAAAGAAAGAGAGAGAGTCAGCGATCCCCAAAAAGTGAAACATTGTAGCAAACAAGAGATGCAGTGACATCACCACATTGTGAGACTTAATGCGGAAGTAGCTGATTGAACCATAAGCTGAAGCCAGCTAGATATGTTCTGTACATTATGTCTTTGTTATAAAGAAAGCTACAGTATTTACATGATCTTAAACAGTAAATTCTAAATGCAATAAGAAAGAATATTGAAAGAAAGCATTCATCAGTCTCCGACACTCAGGCTTTGGGCTTTTGTCCAGTTGTGTTTATCGCAGCAACTGGGCTCATTTTGTCCATAGAAATATATTAAATCAAACTCAAATTCAATAAAAGCGAATATTTGACCAAACACCTGCATGATTAGCCTGGTCTTACCACACCATCATAATCATTTCATTTTGTACACATAGGGAATAATCATTGACTGGCGGTTTGGGATGGCTAAGGCCAGGCTACTTCACGATAAAATGTCACGGAAACAAATGAGGAGCTAAAAACAAGCACAAACATTTGTGGACAGTGGTTTTCCTGTTTGTGTCTCTAACTTTCTACCATTTCCCACTATTTCACACTTACTTTTGCCTTTTGCCTAAAAATTATTATTCATATTTGTGTGAACATAAACATTGTAATGATCAGTGTGTGTGTGTGTATGAGTGAGTGAGTGAGTGGTGTGGTTCCCAGCTTTAAGAGTTTCCCCGTTCACAAACAGCGGAGCGTTACCATGGTGACAGACCCCACCTCCTGACCACAGCCTGATCCACCCCCTCCACAGCCACACCCCAGACCAGCCAGCTGAGGTGAAAAGCACGACCAGGACTGCAGCACCAGGACTGAGGAAGCAGGAAGACCAGACCGAGATCCAGACCAAGACCCAGGAGACTCCAGGTAACTTACACTCAACTGTCAGTAAACGGATTGGATTTTGTGTGCTCTGAAAATATTGCTTCAACACGAGACTCCCTGAGTTCTGAAACTGCTAGATCTATCATAGTGTGTGTTGTATTTGTGTGTTGTGTATTCATGAACATTGGGCTATATAAGAATACATTGCATTGTATTGTGTTGTAACTTGTAACTGAGCCAAAGAGAAGCTGGTTTCTTGTCTTCAGTGTGGTTTAAAACTTTGGACAGTTCCAGGAAGAGCAAGAACAAAAACAGAGGCTCCTCCTTCAAACTGTTGCTTTTGGAAATGTATTATTATAGCAATCATGCTCTCCCCGTGTCTGCTCCGGTTTCCTCCAGGTGCTCCGGTTTCTCCTACCACTAAAAACATGTACAATAGGTCTGAGCTTAGTGAGGGAGAGGAGGGTTTGGCTTCTGGAGCATGGATCTATTATAATATCTGGAGATAATTGAAAAACATTGTAAAGAGTTTGTGTGACTGTGGTAAAGCGCTGTAAAAAAAAAAAAAAAAAGATTCTAAAAAAAAAAGAATCATTCACAGCAACATCCGAGCGTAAATCCAAAGCTTGAGGTCAACATTTAAAACATAGCAGATAGCATAAAAACAATATAAAATTTCTATCTTTAGCATAATAAAGAAGCAGGTAACCCAATATGTGCCATATTTCTGCAGAGCTCGGTATACTGTACGTTCTGAGTTGGTAAAAGTTGTGAGTGAATAGATGAAATACTAGTTTTGTTTGTGTCTTAAAACAGGATTTTCCAATGGGACTAAAGCACAAATCTATAAATTTTCTTTTAATATTTTATTTCTAGTGTTCTAATGTGTTTTCTGTTCTGTATTGGCGAATTGACATCTTTTTAAAGTCCTTTGAGACAACTGCTGCTGTGCATTGAATTGAAATTGAATGGTTATTTTTTAGATAGATTTTAAGTTGGAGCAGCTTTAGCTTGATCTCAGACCTCACATGAGTCATTGTTGCTAAAGCTCCTGCGAGTTCAAACATGTGGTGCGAGGTCCGTGTGACTCTGGAGCAGGAAAAACTTCTCATGTCTCTGAGTCACAGCTGAAAACTTGATTATTATGGTTTTTCACCATAATAATGTGTGACCTGTGAATCACTCACTGCAGTATGAATGGTTTAGTCATTTAGTGTTCAAATGTTTACTAAAATATAGTAAGAAGTTAAGTTAAGCCAATTATTTCTTCTACTATTTTCAAACACATGTCTTCTGAGTATTTGGCCAGTTGTGGTTGGATCCAAATCTCGTGTCAAATACAGTTAATTTGTCAAAATACAAAAATTGACCATGTCTTCACTGTATATACAGTAAGTGTGAAGTGCCATACAACATGGTGACTGGAAGTCTGCTGCCGATATTGTGGGAACGATGTATAGGTCTGTTTCCACGGGCTTGTCTCAACTTTCCCTGTTCTGACTTTAGTGGCTACCCGGCACTTTTTTAGTAACGGTTTGGCCCTGGTTCTGAATTTTTTTCCTTACGGAGTTCTTTATAGTTTTCAGCTGGAATCTTGAGGAACGTGTTGTTTATTATGATTTTCGCAATAGCTGACGCAACAGGTGAAGAGTGATTGACAGTGCCTCTGACCAATCACAAATGACGTTCGCCGAAGTCCGATTGTTTTGGTATCGACTTGGCCTGGCTAGACCAGGGCCAAGCCGTTACTTAAAAGTACTGGGTAGCGGCCAAAGCGAGCCAGTGGAAAAGCCTGCAAACCGGGGTGAGTCGGGTTGAGTCAAGAAGAGTCGAGCCCGTGGAAACATTGTATGCTGTGTACCCGATGGACGTTAGCATTGTCCTTCTGTATCAATCAATCAATCAATCAAATTTTATTCATAAGTGCTTTTTCATACAAAAAAAAGTAACACAAAGTGCTTTACAGTTTAGTTAAAAACAATCCAAGATTCCCACACCAAAGATCCACCCAAAACCACATTTATTAATAACTATACACCCACATGCATACAGACATACAAATGTACGCACACACACAGACACAGACATATATAAAGTCACAACATAAAGGTAAAATAGGTAGAACAATGGAAAGATATAGGGCTGGGTGTAGATGCATCCAGCTGAAGAAGCGCCATCCAAGGAGCCATCTGCACCAGGAGCAGAGAGCCGGCTGCAGCCACAGGGAACGACACAGGACCCAGAGGAGAGAGGGGCCCCAGACCCAACCAGGTCCAGGAGTCAGACCCCTGCAGCCACAGCAAACCCCAGCTCCCAGTGCAGAGGGCTCCTCCAGAGGAAACACTGGGGATCCTAAAACAATACAATTGAAAGTAAAACATTAAAATGTGAAACTAAAAAGAAAAGGGCAGCTACCTAATATTAATAATAACAATAGTAAAGGACAAATTAGATCAAATAAAATAAGAACAAATTAAGTAATTAACAAAAAATCACTAACAATAAATAATAAATACTAATCCAAAACTAATCTAAAAAGGTGCGTCTTGAGCTTGCTTTTAAAAATATGAATGTTCTCTGCGGCCCTGAGCTCCTCCGGCAGACTGTTCCAGTCGTTGTAAGCATTGTCCCTCTGTATACAGTCTATGTTAGCATTGTCTATCTGTATACAGTCTATGTAAGCATTGTCCCTCTGTATACAGTCTATGTTAGCATTTTCCATCTGTATACAGTCTATGTTAGCATTTTCCATCTGTATACAGTCTATGTTAGCATTGTCCATCTGTATACAGTCTATGTTTGCATTGTCCATCTGTATACAGTCTATGTAAGCATTGTCCATCTGTATACTGCCTATGTTAGCATTGTCCATCTGTATACAGTCTATGTTAGCATTGTCCATCTGTATACAGTCTATGTTAGCATTGTCCATCTGTATACAGTCTATGTTAGCATTTTCCATCTGTATACAGTCTATGTAAGCATTGTCCATCTGTATACTGTCTATGTTAGCATTGTCCATCTGTATACAGTCTATGTTAGCATTGTCCATCTACAGTAAATGGTTGAATGCAGAAAGATTAATGTGATTGACTTATTTGACAGTTTCCAGCCTGGACCTCTACTGCAGCTTCAGTTTGTTGAATTCTCAGTGAAAGAACATTTTGATGTGGGGTTTGGGCTTGGACTTCCAGCTGTCCCTGCTGTCTCTGTTGCCATTGGTTACGAACTTACGTGTGTAGAGTTGACTTTGGATTGAGACTTGAATGATTTTTGTCTCATGCCTGAAGTTGTCTGTTTTTCTGTAGGTCTGAAGTTTACGCATCTGCTGCACCATGGATGTGAGTAACAGCACTTCTATCACTACTTCTTTTGAAGGCAGCTACTGCCACTACTGCCACTACTGCCACTACTGCCACTACTGCCACTACTGCCGCTACTGCTACTACTGCTACTACTGCCACTACTGCTACTGCTGCTACTGCTACTACTGCTACTACTGCCACTACTGCTACTGCTGCTACTGCTACTACTACTGCTACTGCTGCTACTGCTACTACTGCTACTGCTGCTACTGCTACTACTGCTACTACTGCCACTACTGCTACTACTGCCACTACTGCCACTACTGCTACTACTGCCACTACTGCCACTACTGCCACTACTGCCACTACTGCCACTACTGCCACTACTGCCACTACTGCCACTACTGCCACTACTGCTACTACTGCTACTACTGCTACTGCTGCTACTGCTACTACTGCTACTACTGCCACTACTGCCACTACTGCCACTACTGCCACTACTGCTACTACTGCTACTGCTGCTACTGCTACTACTGCCACTACTGCTACTGCTGCTACTGCTGCCACTACTGCCACTACTGCTACTGCTGCTACTGCTACTACTGCTACTACTGCCACTACTGCTACTGCTGCTACTGCTACTACTGCTACTACTGCTACTACTGCCACTACTGCTACTGCTACTATTGCTACTACTGCTACTACTGCCACTGCTGCTACTGCTACTACTGCCACTACTGCTACTGCTGCTACTGCTTCTACTGCTACTACTAAATAGTAACAGAGTCGCCGTCAGGGTCTCTAGGTCCAGGGGGATGCAGCTTTCGAATCATCTCTTCATTCATCTCTCTCCAGGAGTCAGTCTTTTCTGGACTATTGAGTCTTTCCATTGAAAAGAAGTAGAAGCCAGACCTGAGTGTGTCACATTTCAGGAGCTAACAAGTGGGAGGCAAAGTCAGTACTATGATGGGAGACCAGAGTAGACAGCCCAAACACTCTGAACCTCTGTGCTGAGGGCATCACTCCATCTCTCTCTTCCACTTCCTTCTTTAGCACTAAAGCATTTTTTGTACAACATACATTCTGAAGACAGTATGTTGTGGTCTGTTTGGTCACACCATTTGACTTCTACAGTTTCTAGTATAACTTGAGAAACACATAGTTAGGTTCCCCAGCTTTTATAACTCCATTACCAGATATTACAGATACAGTAAGATACAGTAGATACACAGAACAGTAATCTGACGCTGTGTCTAAGGGCGAGTCCTGTTTGTTATGAGGCTTGTGTTTGTAAGACCGACTACTCCCTCTGAGCATTCCAAAGGCCTCTGTCAGGAACCGCGCCCAGGACCCAGTCTGCGTCCAGGATCTGAAACCTGTTCTACCTGAGTACCCCCTGCTTCAGTCCGGGTTTAGTCACTGTTTTGAGTCTGAGAATGGATTTAAATAAACCCAAAAGGCTCCATTGGTAGGAGCTCTCTCATAGCAAGCTAAATAACTGTAAACATTTATAATGTCTTCTTTTATGTTTGAGGCGTAGAAGGTTCTTATAATAAGACAAAGGTGTAAAGTTCTGCTTTATCACCACATGTTTTTACTCTGAGGGAACAAAGCAGAACTAGTTTCTTCAAACTTTTGTCTAAAAGAACCTTGTGAACCAAACAACTGATCCACTGTAACCAGTGTTCTGTCCTCAGCTCTCAGACGCTCTCGGAGGATGGCCTTCAGACGGAAAACAATCAGGAGGAGCAGGAGGACCGTGGCCAGGTACATCAAGTCTGCCCAAGTCAGGCGTGGCTCCAGTGCAATCCAACCTCTCCAGTGAACTATTTCATAAGCAGATCTCCCTAATAGTCACAGGAATATGAAGTCATAGGGATGTGAATCAGTGAGAAACATGAGAAAGATGAGTCTGAGTGACAGTTATTATTCACAGTAAAGATGCAGGACAGAGGCTTGGATCATCAGGAGAAGACAATATGAAACAAGATGGAAAAAGGTCTTAAACCTGTGTTTGAGAGAGTTCAGTCGTCATGTCTCAGTCTCTGCAGCTGACTTCAGATCAGTCTCCGCAGTTTCTCTTCATTTCATTACATCTGAGGTCTCTCGGCCCCCACTACCACCTTCCTCCTCCACTCCAGCACCGGGTGAATACTGTGGTGCAAACACTGACCCCTGTCCGTCTGGCAGTGTAACGACAGTCCTGCCACTGAACGGTGCTTACTCAGTCATGCATCTGGAACTTAACAAAGTAAAACAGAGTTCACTTTTTAAACCAATAGAGACTGTGTGTGTTCCTCGCACCGGCTCAGAAATGTGTTTTAATTTGAATAAACACAAATATAACAGAAGGACAGCAGTTAGACGGTCCAACTCAGGAAATCTAATTCCAATTCTTTGTAGTCAATCAACTAAACCCACTGACACTGATATTATTTTTAACCTTGCTCTGCTTAATGTCAGATCACTATGCAATAAATCCTTTTTAATTAATAATTTTATCTGTTCTTATGATCTTGACTTTATGTTTATGACTGAAACTTGGCTTGACCATAATACAGAAAATGCAGTTTTAATAGAAACAACACCACCAAATTTCAAATTTGAATCAGAAATTCGAGAAAATAAAAGAGGAGGAGGCACAGCAGCAGTTTTTAAAGATTGTATTGTCTCCCATAGAGTACCTCTTGGGAAATTTTCCTCATTTGAGTATGTCTCTTTTAAAATAGAACAAAAACAATCTTCTATTCTTATTATTGTTGTGTACAAGCCGCCACAGTCATGTCATAGTTTCACTGATCATTTCACCGAGTTGCTTTCAGTTGTGTGCACAGACTTTGATAGTTTAGTCGTCATAGGTGATTTTAATATTCATGTGGATAACGTTAATGATAGATACGCGAAAGAGCTGAGCTCTGTGCTGGAAACCTTTGGTCTCACTCAGCATGTGAGTGGCCCCACCCATAGCAGAGGACACACTCTCGATCTGCTAATTACTAAAGGGGTTAATATCTCAAATGTAAATGTGGCCAATGTTGCTCTGTCAGATCATTTCTGTGTATTTTTTGATATGTGTCTCAATAGTAAAGCACGAGCTGAATCCTCAATTGTTAGAAGAGGAAGACACATAAACAAAAATACAGGTGAACTTTTCATGGGGATGATAAACTTTGATAACACGTTGTGTTCTACTGTGGATGAATTACTTAACTCTGTCACCTCTAGTGTTTTGGATGTTCTGGACACGATTGCTCCTGTAAAGGTCAAAATTGTTACAAATAAGCAAAAGGCGCCATGGACAAAAGCAGACTCTGTCAGGGCACAGAAGAGAGAGTGCCGGAGAGCCGAGCGGAAGTGGCGAAAGTCAAATCTCCAAGTTGACCATGAGATCTTCAAAGATGCATTGTGCAAGTTCAACAGTGTGCTACGTAGAACGAGGGAAACTTATTTTTCCGAAACAATCGAAGGTTGCAGTAACAATCTACGCGTTCTGTTCTCAACAGTAAATAATTTGACAAATCCCCCTGTTAAGATGCCATCAGAGCTTACCTCCAAAACCAAATGTAATGAGTTTGCAGAGTTTTTTAATGACAAAGTCCAAGGCATCAAAAATGCCATCACCTCCACAGTAGAAATTACAATCCAACAGCCAGTGAAGCTTTTTGGGCTGACACACTTTACACCAGTACAAAATGAAACTGTCCAAATGATAATTACAAGTCTGAGTTCTTCTACATGTAGCCTGGATGTATTACCTCCTAGATTTCTTAAATCTGTTCTGAGCAGTCTTTTACCTTCACTCACGCATATAGTAAATATGTCTCTTGAATCTGGAACATTCCCAATGGCCCTGAAAACGGCAGTCATCAGACCCCTCCTAAAAAAGAGGAGTCTGGATGCCTTGGCACTTAAAAGTTATCGGCCCATTTCAAATCTGCCTTTCATGGGTAAAATTCTAGAAAAAGTTGTCTATCAACAACTTACAGAATTTTTTAATAATCAATCACTCTTTTGATATGTTCCAGTCTGGTTTTAGACCCCACCACAGCACAGAGACCGCTCTAGTGAAGGTAACAAATGACATCAGACTTAACACTGACGCAGGAAAAGTCTCAGTTCTTATCCTGTTAGATTTAAGTGCTGCTTTCGACACTGTCGATCATGGTATCCTCATTCAGAGACTTGAGGACTGGGTTGGTGTTTCTGGAACAGCCCTAAGCTGGTTTATATCCTACCTACAGGACAGAAAGTATTTTGTGGAGATCGGAAACTGTATCTCAGACCATCTGGCCCTAACCTGCGGAGTGCCACAGGGCTCAATCCTGGGGCCTCTCCTGTTTAATATTTACATGCTGCCTCTGGGTAGGTTAATACACAGTAATAACGTGTCCTATCACAATTATGCTGACGATACTCAGGTCTATGTGTCCCTGACAGCAGGAGAACATGGACCAGTGGACTCGCTCCTTCACTGTATCCAACAAATCAGTGATTGGATGCAAAATAACTTTCTCCAGCTAAACACAGAAAAAACTGAAATTATTGTTTTTGGACCTCAAAAACAAAGAGAGAGCGTTATCTGCCACCTCCAGTCTCTCTCCCTAAAACCCTCAACTCAGGTCAGAAATCTAGGAGTAATAATGGACTCAGACTTAAATTTCAATAGCCACATATCATCTGTGACATCATCAGCTTACTTCCACCTAAGAAACATTGCTAAAATTAAAAACATTGTGTCTAAAGCAGACTTGGAGATTCTTATCCACGCATTTGTCTCCAGTCGATTGGACTACTGCAATGGCTTGTTCACAGGTCTATCTAAACAAGCGGTAAAACAGCTGCAGTACATCCAAAATGCTGCAGCTCGAGTCCTGACTAGAACCAGGAAGTACGACCACATTAGTCCGGTCCTCAGGTCTCTGCACTGGCTTCCTGTGGCTCAGAGAATAGACTTTAAAGTAGCTTTACTTGTGTACAAGTCTCTCCATGGCCTCGCACCAGGGTACATCCGCGACATGTTGGTGCCATATGAACCAACTCGGGCTCTGAGGAGCACAGGGACTGGACTTCTGTTAGTGCCAAGAGTCGGAACTAGACATGGGGAGGCTGCTTTTCAGATTCATGCAGCTAGAGTCTGGAACCGTCTTTCCGAGAGTGTGAGACAGGCGTCTACTCTAGCAGTTTTTAAAACTGAACTGAAAACAGTTCTTTTTAGCTGTGCATACAAGTGAATGATTTTATATTTGTTTTTATCTTTAATCTTTTTAATGCACTATGATTATTTATGATTATTTATGATTGTAATCCCTTGTGTGATTTTAATGTTTTACGGTTTTTAACTACTTGTGTGATTTTATATATCTTGTGCTCTTAATCTGTCCTTTTATGTTTACTTAAATTCTAATGTTTGATGATTTATGCATGATGTTATATGGGTTGTGAGGCGCTTTGCGTTGCCTTGTGTAGGAAAGGCGCTCTATAAATAAACGTTGATTGATTGATAAGTGCAACCTCCTCCTCAGGAGCACAATCGTCTGAGTGTCTAGTCCCTTGGGAGTGAGATTCCATATCTCTCTCCGTCTGTTCAACTTTACTGATTTTAGTTGTGTTTTCAGGGCAGCCCGCCAACCCCTCCTGGCCTGGGGGTCAACCCTCTAACCCCACCTGGCCTGGAGGTCAACCCTCTAACCCCACCTGGCCTGGGGGTCAACCCTCTAACCCCACCTGGCCTGGAGCTCCCTCAGGTCCCTCAGCACCCTCTGGTCCAGGCTGGCCTGCTCCCACGCAGCCATCTGGTCCAGGCTGGCCTGCTCCCACGCAGCCCTCTGGTCCAGGATGGCCATCGGGTCCCTCAGGCCCCTCTCAGCCCTCAAACCCCACCTGGCCTTCTCCCACTCAGCCCACAGGTCCCACAGGTCCCACTGGTCCCACTGGTCCCACTGGTCCTGGGGGCTGGCCCTCTGGACCTGCTCCTGGTCCAGCTCCGAGTCCCAGTTTCCCTACGGCTCCTCAGCAAAACCTGGTGAGACTCTTTCAGTCATAGATACTGCAGAAGTTACAGAGACACTTTACTTTCACTTCACTTTACTAATCACTTCAGAAAACTCTGCCTGTGATGTGTGGGACTGAATCCTTTGCATCTGGGTCCTGATGGAACCTGGGGTAGTACATTTGTGAGCAGAGGTACAGGACCTTGATGCGGCTGAGGTCTCCACAATATATTAAGTTCAATAGTAAATGATGTAATGGACAGAAGGTGGTGTAGCCCTATGGTTCAGCCTCGGTCCCTGAGGGTCTGAGATCTATAGATAAATGCAGATTTACAGATAAATAAGAGACTATCAGATAAATACAGGTATAATTACATATTTATTGATTCCAAATGAGGAAATTCAAAAACCTTTTGTTGATATACTGAAGGATGTTGTTCTTGTCTCTGTTCAGACGATGCCGTATTCTCACAAGTTTCACTCTGGACTCGAGGACAAAACTCTCATCACCATCGCAGGCACCATCAAACCTCACGCCAACATGTACGAGACACAGAGGGTTAGAGGGATATAGGAGAAATGGTACAATTGGCAGTAACGGCAGTAGTCATAGTCATAGTCGTAGTCGTAGGACAGGTACATTTCTGGTCTAGGGTTGCCAAGATCAACCGATTTTACGGTCATTGCGATTATAAAAGCAAGATGGATTTTACGATTTACCGCTGGTAACTTGAAGATGGCAGGTAAAGCTCCCCCAGAGTTATATCCACCACAACTTAAGTCAGCAGTGTGGGATCACTTTGGGAATCCAAAATATGAGCAAGGTGTTTTTGTCAATACTTCAAACATGATACAAGGCTATCCTCCTTTGCTGTATGTACAAGTCAAGGTAAAAACCTGCATAATTGTCAATAAAGTTAACCAAATGTTCAGAAATAAAGCGCCAAAACTGTCCCAGGGTGCACATTAATTCAAAGGATTCTACAAACATAAAAGTGAAAGTCACATCGGCGAAAACACTTGCACGTGTGCTGGGAGACGCAAAGGGACAGTACGCACAGTCTATGGTCCTTAGTCAACAAAAGAAATGCAGACATAACACCTATACTACAACTATGATGGCTGCTACTACTAATAGTACAAAACAATTAGGCCACATACATTCTTGAATTTATTTTTTCTATGAACATTTTTAAACTTATAAACTATCTATAAAGTTCAGCAATTTGCATGTATGTATATTTTAAATGTAATACATACTACACAAAATATGTCAAATATTATATGATAATCTTAATCTATTGTTTTCCAGCAACAATCTGAGTTGATTTTCTTTCATAACGTCAATTATTGTGATTAATTGTAAAGACACAAAATATTCTCTCACAATAATTGTGACTCAAAAATTTGAAATCGTGGCAACCCTTCATGTGAGGCATAAGTGTTGTAGAAGCTGCAGTAGCAGCAGCTGCAGCAGTAGCAGCAGTACATGTGACCTCTGGTGTCTCAGGTTCATGGTGGACTTTCGCTCTGACTCCGATCTCGTGTTTCACTTCAATCCTCGCTTTAACGAGTCCGGACGACAGGTGATTGTCAGGAACAGCGAGATCGGGAGGAAGTGGGGGAAAGAAGAGAGAGACCTGCCACGCTTCCCATTCACACCAGGACAGGCTTTTGAGGTAAGACAGACTGAAGCAGAGATTGGAGGCAGAAACTGAAGCAGATACTTTTGTCAATTGTACATAAACACAAGTAGTAATATTTATTTATATACCGCCTTTTCACTGCAGATCTGAGTCTCAAAGCGGTTTACAATTGTTTTTGTTTTTTTTGGGCATTTGTCTCTCACTCCACACAGAGATGGGAGCGGGGTCGCCAGTACAGGAGGCATATGCCAGACCTATTGTACATCTTTTTAGTGGTAGGGGAAACCGGAGTACCCGGAGGAAACCTACGCAGACACGGGGAGAACATGCAAACTCCACTCAGAAAGGCCCTGGTCCGACCGGGATTTGAACCCAGGACTTGAACCCAGGACCTTCTTGCTGAGAGGCGAGAGTGCTATCCACTCAGCCACCGTGCCACACAAATACACAATACATCAATCAACAGTATTTGCCAGTTTCACCATGTCTGGGTATATTTACATGTTCAATATGTATTTACGGATGTATTTCTATGTTGTACTTTTACATGTGTTGTTGTCATGTCACTGTTGCAGATGAAGATCATGGTGACACGTGACTCCTTCAAAGTGGCGGTGAACAACTCCCACCTGCTGGAGTTCAAACACAGAGAGGGGAATCTCCACAAAATCCACCACATGGCCATACACCATGACGTGGTGCTGTCCAGGGTTACCGTGGAGAATCTGCCATAACACCTCTCACATAAAGATACTCAGATCTGTAGGTGTATAGGGGAAGGTGTGATGGTTGAAAGACTGGGACATTATAGTAAATCAGTATAGACCGAAACCAGACTTTATATGTTTGTTATACATTTATACAAAAATCCCGAGTAAAGCATTTATTTTACACTGAGTTTAGCAGTTTTGACTCAGTATGAGGTCTTTACAGGTGACAAGTTCTGACTTTAACCATAGAACTTTCTTTTGTTTGATATTTTAAATTTCAAAACACAATGAAGAACTTGTACTTTTACAATAAAGATAATGTTGGTCTATTACATGCTTGTCCTCTCTCTATCTCTGCGATCACACTTCAGCAGTCGTGTGTTCATGCAGTGTGTCAAACAATTACTGAGCAGGATGACTTTTACATGGAAGTCAATAGAAGCCAGAGAGAGTTAGAGCAAAACTTCACCCTTTAGCACTTTATTAAATCTAGCTTCATTGAGGTAGCAGCGGGTTAGCATAGTCAATCTTTATACTTGTATCTACAGTACACTCTACCTTCAGAACCGTGGACTCAAGCGGGACCTCTTGAGCATCACAGACAAAAACAAAATGGGGTCTTCTGTGAACCATATCTTTGAGGTGAGGATTATAGAGAGGAGCAGTGTTCTGTGTGTTTATTCAATGCACATTACAGAATAAAGATTTGCACTATTTACATTTAGACAACGGCAGAAGAGACAGAGCATCAGCCACAAGAAAAACTTCAGGAAATATATGAGAAAGTATGTCTCTATAAAACGTGTGATCAATGTGATATTATGAGAAGTTTGAGACTTTATATGAGGAGTGAACAGAGTGTGACATCACCACAGTGTTAGCCTTAGTGCAGAAGAAGCAGATTTGAACATAAGCTGGGGCCAGTTTTCCTTTATGGGCATTTGTTCTGACACCGTTAGCTTAGTGCTGTAACAAGGGAAGACGTGTTGCTGAGACTGCTGCAGGGATTTTGCAAATTAAGGCATCTGATTGGTCCAATTCTTGAAACTCATATCTGGATTTACAAAAGACTAAGACACCAGGATCACAGAGAGAGCTGAGATTTCATGCTGTGATGTAACAGATGACTGCTTGAACACCAGTCAGTTAAGCTAAAACTTGATGGATTCAAAATAAGTCCATAAACTCTCTGCTCTGTCAGCAGCCCACCTCTACCACAGAAAGAATACACATTTGCTGCCTCACTGTATAGGCCTCTGGGATCAAAGAAGTAGGAAGAAGAAGCGTCGTATAGTCGTATAGATTACAGTAGTTCTGCTTCAGTTCAACATGTTAGCCTTCCAACGTTCAGAGGAGACTTGTGATGTGGGGACGTGTCTCACCAGATCACAACTTGTATTTAGTAATAAGCATTTTTATAAACTCATTAGGAAATAAATCAGGTATAATTCCTTTAACAGTGGTAATCTCGCTCTCTACGGACCAATGGCTCCTGCATTTCCTGTGTTCAAACTGTCTGATTCTCTGATCTGTTGTTGAGAAATCTACAACTTCCCTCCTGCCAGACAACTGCTATTGTGACTATTGTGAATTAGTAAGTCATCTTTATTTATACAGAGATCACAAGACCCAAAGCACTTTACAATGTTCAGTGCTTTGGGTGAACACACTGGTGCATCAAAGCCACAAATCAACACCATTCATTCACTCACTCACTACATTCATACATTATCTGTTGTGCATGTTTTTTAGTGATAGGGGAAACCGGAGCAACCAACGATACCTGCGCATACATGGCGAGAAGATGCAAACTTCACTCAGAAAGACTCCGTTCTGACCGGGATTCTAACAGGACCTTCTTGCTGAGAAGTGAGAGTGCTATCCAGTCACCCACGGTGGATGGAACTGAACGTTGGATCATGCTTAAAAACCATATTTTAGTGTCACTCCTCCACACTACTGGGTGAATGTAGCAGCTTGAGTTGGTTCTTAAGGGTTTCAGGTGCGCAAGTTAAAGTTTGTGTTTCTCCAGATTTCAGTTTGAGGTGAAATTGTGTTAAACGTTTAAACGTCTTCAACATCCGGGTCTTTCGGCTTCAGGTGAACTTCTTCTTTGTGGCCGTAAATCGTTCCATGTACTGAAACCGACAAAGAGAAACAGGTGAATGTACTGAGACTGAGGCAGCTCAGAGACTTCCCTTTTACTGATGAAACTGCTCCTAATCCTAAAAATCTTACACCAAACCGGTTCACCTTCACCTCGCCCTCATGTGTTTGTGGTCATAAGAGGGAATGGGAGAACGTTCGAGGGGTATGCATACTTTTACCTGTCTGCTGAATTGTGTAAATTTGACGTGGCTCATTATTATATACAGTATTCGGCCCCCTTTGAACCTTTAAACATTTCACCACATTTCAGGCTTCGAACATAAAGATATAAAATTTTAATTTTTTGTCATGAATCAACAACAAGTGGGACACAATCATGAAGTGGAACGAAATTTATGGGATGAGCAAGACAGCTCATCACCCTGAACACACCATCCTCACTGTCAAACATGGTGGTGGCAGCATCATGGTTTGGGCCTGCTTTTCTTCAGCAGGGACAGGGAAGATGGCTAAAATTGATGGGAAGATGGATGGAGCCAAATACGGGACCATTCTGGAAGAAAACCTGTTGTCTGCAAAAGACCTGAGACTGGGACAGAGATTTATCTTCCAACAGGACAAATGATCCAAAACAAAAAGCCAAATCTACAATGGAATGGTTCACAAATAGACGTATCCAGGTGTTAGAATGGCCAAGTCAAAGTCCAGACCTGAATCCAATCGAGAATCTGTGGAAAGAGCTGAAGACTGCTGTTCACAAACGCTCTCCATCCAACCTCACTGAGCTCGAGCTGTTTTGCAAGGAAGAATGGGAAAGAATTCCAGTCTGTCGATGTGCAAAACTGATAGAGACATACCCCAAGCGACTTGCAGCTGTAATTGCAGCAAAAGGTGGCGCTACAAAGTATTAGCGCAAGGGGGCCGAATAATATTGCACACCCCACTTTTCACTTTTTTATTTGTTAAAAAAGTTTAAATTATCCAATAAATGTTGTTCCACTTCACGATTGTGTCCCACTTGTTGATTCTTGACAAAAAAATATTTTTTTATATCTTTATGTTTGAAGCCTGAAATGTGGCGAAATGTTGAATACTTTTGCAAGGCACTGTATTTGATGCTTTTAGTGTTACTGTATTCTTGCTATCACTTTGTAGCGCCACCTTTTGCTGCAATTACAGCTGCAAGTCGCTTATGGGTATGTCTCTATCAGTTTTGCACATCGACAGACTGGAATTCTTTCCCATTACTTCCTTGCAAACAGCTTCGAGCTCAGTGAGGTTGGATGGAAGAGCGTTTGTGAACAGCAGTCTTCAGCTCTTTCCACAGATTCTCGATTGGATTCAGGTCTGGACTTTGACTTGGCCATTCTAACACCTGGATACGTCTAGTTGTGAACCATTCCATATGTAATTTGGCTTTATGTTTTGGATCATTGTCCTGTTGGAAGATAAATCTCTGTCCCAGTCTCAGGTCTTTTGCAGACACCAACAGTTTTCTTCCAGAATGGTCCCCGTATTTGGCTCCATCCATCTTCCCATCAATTTTAGCCATCTTCCCTGTCCCTGCTGAAGAAAAGCAGGCCCAAACCATGATGCTGCCACCACCATGTTTGACAGTGAGGATGGTGTGTTCAGGGTGATGATCTGTCCTTGCTCATCCATAATATTTCGTTCCACATCATGATTGTGGTCCCACTTGTTGTTGATTCATGACAAAAAATTAAAATTTTATAACTTTATGTTCGAAGCCCTGACATGAGGTGAAATGTTTAAAGGATTCAAAGGGGGCCGAATACAGTATATAATAATGAGCCACGTCAAATTTACACAGTTCATGCAGACAGGTAAAAGTATGCCAATACCCCTCGAACGTTCTCCCATTCCCTCATATGACCACAAACACAAGATTGCGAGGTGAAGGTGAACCGGTTTGGTTGTAAGATTATTAGGTATTAGGAGCATTTTCATCAGTAAAAGGGAAGTCTCTGAGCTTCCTCAGTCTCAGTACATTCACCTGTTTCTCTTTGTCGGTTTCAGTACATGGAACGATTTACGGCCACAAAGAAGAAGTTCACCTGAAGCCGAAAGACCCGGATGTTGAAGACGTTTAAACGTTTAACACAATTTCACCTCAAACTGAAATCTGGAGAAACACAAACTTTAACTTGCGCACCTGAAACCCTTAAGAACCAACTCAAGCTGCTACATTCACCCAGTAGTGTGGAGGAGTGACACTAAAATATGGTTTTTAAGCATGATCCAACGTTCAGTTCCATCCACCGTGGGTGACTGGATAGCACTCTCACTTCTCAGCAAGAAGGTCCTGTTAGAATCCCGGTCAGAACGGAGTCTTTCTGAGTGAAGTTTGCATCTTCTCGCCATGTATGCGCAGGTATCGTTGGTTGCTCCGGTTTCCCCTATCACTAAAAAACATGCACAACAGATAATGTATGAATGTAGTGAGTGAGTGAATGAATGGTGTTGATTTGTGGCTTTGATGCACCAGTGTGTTCACCCAAAGCACTGAACATTGTAAAGTGCTTTGGGTCTTGTGATCTCTGTATAAATAAAGATGACTTACTAATTCACAATAGTCACAATAGCAGTTGTCTGGCAGGAGGGAAGTTGTAGATTTCTCAACAACAGATCAGAGAATCAGACAGTTTGAACACAGGAAATGCAGGAGCCATTGGTCCGTAGAGAGCGAGATTACCACTGTTAAAGGAATTATACCTGATTTATTTCCTAATGAGTTTAATAGAGAAATAAAAAAAACCAAAAAAACAGAAAAAAAAAAAAAAAAAAAAAAAAAAAACAAAAAAAAAAAGAAAATAAGAAAAAAAAAAAAAAAAAAAAAAGAGAAAAAAAAAAAAAAAAAAAATGACTCACAAAACAAAAAAAGAAAAAAAAAACCAAAAAAAAAAAACAAAAAAAAAAGAAAAAAAGAAAAAAATAAAAAACTATATGAGGAGTGAAACAGAGTGTGACATCACCACAGTGTTAGCCTTAGTGCAGAAGAAGCAGATTTGAACATAAGCTGGGGCCAGTTTTCCTTTATGGCCATTTGTTCTGACACCGTTAGCTTAGTGCTGTAACAAGGGAAGACGTGTTGCTGAGACTGCTGCAGGGATTTTGCAAATTAAGGCATCTGATTGGTCCAATTCTTGAAACTCATATCTGGATTTACAAAAGACTAAGACACCAGGATCACAAGAGAGAGCTGAGATTTCATGCTGTGATGTAACAGATGACTGCTTGAACACCAGTCAGTTAAGCTAAAACTTGATGGATTCAAAATAAGTCCATAAACTCTCTGCTCTGTCAGCAGCCCACCTCTACCACAGAAAGAATACACATTTGCTGCCTCATCTGTATAGGCCTCTGGGATCAAAGAAGTAGGAAGAAGAAGCGTCGTATAGTCGTATAGATTCACAGTAGTTCTGCTTCAGTTCAACATGTTAGCCTTCCAACGTTCAGAGGAGACTTGTGATGTGGGGACGTGTCTCACCAGATCACAACTTGTATTTCGTAATAAGCATTTTTATAAACTCATTAGGAAATAAATCAGGTATAATTCCTTTAACAGTGGTAATCTCGCTCTCTACGGACCAATGGCTCCTGCATTTCCTGTGTTCAAACTGTCTGATTCTCTGATCTGTTGTTGAAATCTCACAACTTCCCTCCTGCCAGACAACTGCTATTGTGGACTATTGTGAATTAGTAAGTCATCTTTATTGATACAGAGATCACAAGACCCAAAGCACTTTACAATGTTCAGTGCTTTGGGTGAACACACTGGTGCATCAAAGCCACAAATCAACACCATTCATTCGCTCACTCACTACATTCATACATTATCTGTTGTGCATGTTTTTAGTGATAGGGGAAACCGGAGCAACCAACGATACCTGCGCATACATGGCGAGAAGATGCAAACTTCACTCAGAAAGACTCCGTTCTGACCGGGATTCTAACAGGACCTTCTTGCTGAGAAGTGAGAGTGCTATCCAGTCACCCACGGTGGATGGAACTGAACGTTGGATCATGCTTAAAAACCATATTTTAGTGTCACTCCTCCACACTACTGGGTGAAAGTAGCAGCTTGAGTTGGGTTCTTAAGGGTTTCAGGTGCGCAAGTTAAAGTTTGTGTTTCTCCAGATTTCAGTTTGAGGTGAAATTGTGTTAAACGTTTCAAACGTCTTCAACATCCGGGTCTTTCGGCTTCAGGTGAACTTCTTCTTTGTGGCCGTAAATCGTTCCATGTACTGAAACCGACAAAAGAGAAACAGTGTGAATGTACTGAGACTGAGGCAGCTCAGAGACTTCCCTTTTACTGATGAAACTGCTCCTAATCCTAAAAATCTTACACCAAACCCGGTTCACCTTCACCTCGCCCTCATGTGTTTGTGGTCATAAGAGGGAATGGGAGAACGTTCGAGGGGTATGGCATACTTTTACCTGTCTGCTGAATTGTGTAAATTTGACGTGGCTCATTATTATATACAGTATTCGGCCCCTTTGAACCTTTAAACATTTCACCACATTTCAGGCTTCGAACATAAAGATATAAAATTTTAATTTTTTGTCATGAATCAACAACAAGTGGGACACAATCATGAAGTGGAACGAAATTTATGGGATGAGCAAGACAGCTCATCACCCTGAACACACCATCCTCACTGTCAATCATGGTGGTGGCAGCATCATGGTTTGGGCCTCCATGCTTTTCTTCAGCAGGGACAGGGAAGATGGCTAAAATTGATGGGAAGATGGATGGAGCCAAATACGGGACCATTCTGGAAGAAAACCTGTTGTCTGCAAAAGACCTGAGACTGGGACAGAGATTTATCTTCCAACAGGACAATGATCCAAAACAAAAAGCCAAATCTACAATGGAATGGTTCACAAATAGACGTATCCAGGTGTTAGAATGGCCAAGTCCAAAGTCCAGACCTGAATCCAATCGAGAATTCTGTGGAAAGAGCTGAAGACTGCTGTTCACAAACGCTCTCCATCCAACCTCACTGAGGCTCGAGCTGTTTTGCAAGGAAGAATGGGAAAGAATTCCAGTCTGTCGATGTGCAAAACTGATAGAGACATACCCCAAGCGACTTGCAGCTGTAATTGCAGCAAAAGGTGGCGCTACAAAGTATTAGCGCAAGGGGGCCGAATAATATTGCACACCCCACTTTTCACTTTTTTATTTGTTAAAAAAGTTTAAATTATCCAATAAATGTTGTTCCACTTCACGATTGTGTCCCACTTGTTGATTCTTGACAAAAAAATATTTTTTTATATCTTTATGTTTGAAGCCTGAAATGTGGCGAAATGTTGAATACTTTTGCAAGGCACTGTATTTGATGCTTTTAGTGTTACTGTATTCTTCCTGCTCTTGTGCTGAGGGAGAATCACTGCTGCCCTCTGGTGATCATGGAAGAGATAAACATGATTTAAAGCAGGGACCTGGGGGCCACTGGATGTGGTGTCTGGGTGAGGCTGGGCCGCAAGAAAAGATTTCTTTAAAAATAAATTTTATTTTAAATGACTTTTTAAATTTTCAACACAAATTAAAATCATAAAATGAAAAGTAAACACACGTGTGCACAGTCACACTTTATCAATGGCAACAATCTCACCATCATAACTGGAGCTATGCTCCCAACATAATCAATAATATTTGCAAATATTCTTGCAACATCAAGCAATAGTTTTTCGGCATTGTCTTCTCACTCATGGTTTGTGAAAATGATTAAAATTACTTGTAAGTGCGCCCCTAGTGTTAGGTTTATATTTTGCATGCTGACGCTGTATTACTTTCGCTTTTGAGCACGAATGTTATTATTATTATAGCCATCTCATGCATAGAAGTCATGTCACCTTCAGGCTACAGGCTAATTCAGAGCGGAGTCTGCTCCTCTGTCCATGAGCCCACCTCCCCCCGCCCGCACGGTGACGTAGCCTCACTCTGCGATTTGTTCATCACCGGTACACAGTCATTTCAGACCTGTGAATAAACTTTTACCTACAATAACAATCCGTAACATTGAGCCCTATGTCCTCGATCCAGACTCAGACCTTAATTATTTAGTTTATGGAAGTATACGGCGAATTAGTATCACTGTGCTTACAGATCGATGCTCCGTGTTAGCGTCTCTTATCGTGGGAATAACACTGGTTTCCAGATCAGCTTTTGAGTCCAGTTCATGCTAACTGTAGTTCTGGAACAGTCTTAGTGAAGTGTCGCAGATGAGCACATTCATTCAAACAGAGGCAGATCCCCGTGAAAATGTCGAGCCGTATTTTTCCTCTTTGGGCCAAATAGTGCGTCAAATATTTACACCAAAAACACATTTTCTCCAAGTTGACATGATCCTAACACTTTTAGTTGCTGATAAAAGCAGAAAAACAGTTTAGCTCCATATGGTGTCCGCGGGACCAAACTACAGACATACGCTGGACTCGGAAGCTGGACCTGGGAGCTGGACATCAATGTCCGGCCTCAAGCGTAATATACCACAACGTGATTGGAAAGACTCTTTCAGCTCCACACACAACGTTGTCAAGCACCATTCAAATAAAACTCGCGGCCCGCACTACCATTAAACTTTCATATTAACCCACTGAGGCCAGGAACGCATTCCAGCGTTTCTACCTTTCAAGCCGGGAGCGCCGTTGCGCACTTCTACCTTTAAGGCCGGGAAAGCGGATGAGTCTTTTTTTCTTTTTTTACCTATTCTCTTCATTGATCAATTTTATTGACCAATGAAATGCATCATGATATACCTGTGATGAGAATTATCTGCGGATTCGCAAATTCCGACTTTTCCTCGTTGAAAATATAATTTCTGTGAAATGTGTGACCGTGGGCAGTTGTTTGCGTTACGTACTCGAACGGGATTCACATCCTCCGCTCTGACCCCGGGAGCAACTGTGGCCGCTTTGACACAGCTCAGCGAACACGCAGCCGCAACGTGGTCATGCACCGCGGACCATAGACGCACGGACAGAATCATACACGCGCGTTCAGGACCATCCCCAGCTTGATGCACGTGCGGGTCTTTCCCATCTACCCCGTCTCTCCCCTATGTCTCGCCCAAGTCTCCTCACGAAGCGCAGCCAAAACTCACTGAATTAAAAGCTCAGGTGCCTAAATTTCCTCTTGCATTGACAATGCATGTCATTTGTGCACAAAAGTAAATTGTTGTGAACAAATCAAACAAAACAAACCACAACAGTGTTTTTTTATTTTGCTTCCATCTTTTTTTTGCTGATAAACGGTATAAATGAGTGTCCAATAGTGTTGTGTACATATCCTGGTCATAATTTCCTCCTCAATCCTCAAGGAGCAGGGGTGAGAAGTTCTTTAAGAAAGAGCCATGTGAGTCATTGTTTGACTTTTTTGGGCTGACAGTTTTATTTATTTTTCCCCACATAGTGCGTGCCACTTTATTGCCAAACTCTTTTTGACTTATTGTATTGAGAAACATGTGTTAGTCTCACAATATTTATGGTTGTTTTAGTATGTTTCCTGTGTGGAAGTTGTATATTCTTTGTATTATTCTACTGAAGGTTTATAATAATACCCTGCATTCTTATTGAAAGCCACAAGTGTCAGCTCTCGAATTCTTTTGAAATTATGTTTCAATCTGCTACAGAGGCCGATATATCAATAATTTAGTAGACGTTGAATTTCAGGAAAACTAAAACAGGTTTTAGAGGGTGGTTCTGAAGTCGGCCATAGGTTTTACAGGTCAGTTTTAACAGGTGTGTCAGGCCTTAATGGGTTAATGTGGGGGGACCACAAAATAAAGAGACCCCTGATTAAAAGCTTTGATACCTGATGTAAAACATTTGTTTGTCCCTTGTTTGTAAAAGTGGACTGGAGACAGAAAACTTTGGTCAACAGAGACAAGACCAGAGAGAGACCTGAGAGATACATGATGTGAAAAGAAATGATAGAAACAACTGTTTTGAGAGCAAGGAACGAGAGACATGACACAGATTGGATTCAAAGGACAGAAGAGGAGAGTACCTTGTCGTATCCTTCCAGGTCCCTCATGTCCTTCACCTCGAACAGGTTTCCCTCCAGTGACAGGAGCGAGACTTGTGACTGACCCAGAACCTGCAGAGGAACAGCAGCCAGCTCCAGGCAGTTCTCCTCCAGACGCAGAACCTTCAGCCGCGGACACTGAGCGATGGACGGCGCCACGGACGAGATCTGGAACACACCACACAGGTCAAACGCAGGTCTAAAGCCTGATTAAAACAGGTCAGACCTGCTGGAACACAGTTTCCACGCGCACTGGACGCACATTCTCTAAATTTCAGACGCTAGGGGTGTTCAGACCAGAAGTCCTGGCCTGCGGTGGCACCCGGCGGAAGTAGCAGAAGTGTTTTGATGCTAACGGAGTTAAAATATCATCTTTTTTTGTAAAGTTCTTCTCCAATAATGCAGCTCTGCAGCGTCTCTGTATCCAGAGACCTTCCAGAGACCTTCCAGAGACTTTATATAACAGCAGTATACGTTCACGGAGCTGCACTATACGTTCATTTTATTATTAGACGGTACTTCCGCATGGGCGAACATGCTAGCTGTGCTACTTTACAGTCACTGGAGACTCAGGCTGGAGGCATATGATCACAAGCACAGAGTCCCCCAGTGTCAACCCTGGTTTAGTCCTGGTTTAGCTCCCGTTTTTGCTGTTAACGAGTATTTTCAGTCTGCTCGCTAGACCTTGCTGCACGAGCGTCCCGAGGAAAAAGTTCAGCTATGTTTATCTCCTGCGTGCGTCGAATTTTTGCTCCTGCGCCTCTGCCGCGTCTCTACCGCGCAGTCCGTGCGTGCCGAGACGCACATGCAGTTCCACGCTCGAACGCGCGTCACCATTGACTTTGCATTGAAAGTCGCCGCAACACATGATCCGGTCTGAACGCGGCATAAAGCAGGACTAAAGTAGCGCAAAAGCAGGCAAGACATTACCTGGTTCTGGTTGAGGTTGACCTCAATGGCCTGGAGCTCCTGGACTTCTGGGGGGATGGAGTGGATCTTGTTGTGGGACAGATCCAACAGGTCTAGGTGCCTCAGAGCCCCCAACCCCGAGGGGAGCTCAGAGATGAGGTTCCCCGACAGAGACAGCGTCCGCAGGGCTTTGAGCTGGCACAGGGCCCCTGGGACGGTCTGGAGCTGGTTCTGGTTCAGGCTCAGAGTCTCCAGCTTCTTCAGTTTGCCGATCTCAGCGGGAAGACTGGCTGTGGGGGAGAGAGAGAGAGTGAGGAGGTGGAAGAGAGGCCAGAGAGGATGTAGAAAGGAAATATAGGATGCACTTTGGTCACTGTGTAATATCAGTGTAATTCTCTGGTCTCGCTTTCTCGACTTTTTCTGATGCCGAAATTCAAATTTGATGCTCAATGAAAATATAGCTTATTATGTTGCCAGAGTGGGAACATGTTTATTGTCCAAATTTCAATTTCATGTGTGAATTTCATGTGTGTTTTTGCATGTTGTGATGAAGGTTGGGTGTAAAATGTACACCACCTTCTGACTCTGTGTATATTTTGTGCGTATCGTACACTCACGTCCAGATTAAAAAATGCCAAAAAGTTTACATATTTTGCGTACGCCTCATTTACACCCTGATTTGGCCGTACAGAAGTTTCATAAATGAGGGCCACTGTCACAGCTAGTGTCTTGAGGCTTTGTCCTTTACTGTGTACATACTCAGTCTGTTTGCATTCAGCGTCAAACTCTTCATCTGCAGAAAGTTCCCGATGGCCGCAGGTAGAACCTCAATCTTGTTTCCCGAAAGATCCACGGTGCGCAGGTTGGAGGTCAGGCGCTGCAGCTCCTCCGGGAACTGAGGGAACGACACATTGTTACAAAACAGGATCAAACAAAAACTCATTGCTCACTCTCTGATCAGACGAGACTCACTCTGATGTTACAACAATGGCTTTGTAAATGCATTTTTAGGTGAAATAAAAAACATATTTGAGACTTCTTCTCTGAGAATAATCAAATCCAAGTTAAAACAGTGCTGTTTAGCAGTGCAGGGATTGTATCTTCACTCTTTTTAATGCACCGTTTTTATCTTGTTTTGTTCAGCACTTTGAGTTGCCTTGTGTATAAACTGTGCTATATAAATAAACTTAAAATACTTAAACATTGTACTGTTGTAGAAATCAGAAATGAAATTGTTTTATTGTCATTATGAGCAACAGGAAGTCACAAGCTAACAATTTGCTCTGCCTCAAGGTGCAAAATAAAGCTTCAATTAATGGTCTGAGCTGCTCACCGCTGCCAACTTCTTCCACACCTACTTTTATATGAACTGCAAAGAGTTAATTTGAAATGTGTAAGAAATAGTTAAAGAGTGTTGTAATGTGTGTCTGACTTGCTCACAAAAATACTTAGATACTTTGTTTTAGGATAAATATATACTTTTTAAATCCAAATATATGTGCCCTTGCTTTAATGTCCCACTACATACAGTATCCTCCTACACTCTCTGAGGTGGTCTGTACCTCCTGCAGGCCTTTCCCCGTGAGCTGGAACACCCCGGTCTTCTGAGAGGTCTCCAGGTGGGTCTTGATGGCACTGTTCCCCATCTTTGTTCTTGACTCCCCGGGGCTGTCTCTCCTCTGTCCGGTCCCTGAGTCCTCCCACGAGTTTAGCTCATGACCTGGGATGCAGGCTCCTCTCGCTGTCGTCTGTCCCCGTTAACAGCCTCTCTGCTTAGGTTAGCGTTAATGCGATCAGCCGCTGAAATCCTAAAGATTATAAAAATGCACAAAAAACTCAAACCCAAACACAAAGCTTGTAAACATATATGCAGTTCCACGTGGATAATTATAATATACTTTTTATATTTATTTTTGGGAATAACTAAATCAATGTTTATGTTTTGGGCGTGAATCAGAAGCTATCCTCATTAGCAAGTTAGCATCGCCCAGTTAGCCCGTTATCTTACACTCACACAATTAACTCAAACAGCCACAAATATCGCTTTACTCACCTTTAGGTGGCAGAATGGAGTCGTGCGTACGCCCTTATGTTATAAATACGACGTGTTAAAGCGTAAAACTGTCAATAAAAGTTTAAACAGTGCAGCGTCTGCGGGCACAACACTGCTGAACGAGGGAACAGCGCATGCGCAAAATGAGTTGAAATGATGCAGTTGCTCGTAGTGGCCGATAGTGGGCGCACACAAACAGGAAATAGCACCATGACCAAATCTCAGGCGGGCTGTTTGTGTTGGGAGAATATTTACAGTCTGGTGGGGAGGTATTGGGGATTTTTGGTCACGATTTTAGTTTATTTTTTACGCAAATAAACACCACGGATCTGCAGTCAAACCAGGAAAAGCAGAAAATTCGAATTCGTGCCAAGGTTCGTCACGTTTATGTCTGTAATCCCACAATAATGGAGTTCAATTAGCCTAGCGTCACTCACTGCTTTGACTTGCAGTATAGAGTTAATGACAAACACTACAGCTGCTATCACATCAAAACTCACTTTATTCAAATCTGGATCTTTATGAGTAAAGAAGAGTCATTCTATAATTATCAACTCAAGCTAACGTTGCTAAAGCTGCAGTGCTACCGTTCGCCACCAGATGTCGCCCATTTCTCTTATCCTTGATTCTCTTTCATTTAGATTCAATTGGTTCATTTTTTAAAAGAATAGGAATATAAAAAGAGAACATTGTTATACCTCCAGAATCTCTTCTTCTCTAGACCTTTATAATCTTACACCTTGAACCCGGTTTTGACTTTGTTGGGACCTGGTTTTGGACCAAGTTTTCCTGCTCAAACTGCTCAAAATGTATCCTCTACCTTGGTTACATAACTTATTACATTTTCTTTGTCCCAACAGAAATATTTTTTATAAAGTGTCTGAAAAAGAGAGGTATATTTGTTAATAATATTATAATAATATTTAATCTATAAAGAACATTATATTTGAACACTTTGGAACTGTAGCTATTATTGTTAGGTTTTTATTTAACTGCTGAATCCAGTCAAAGGACAATACCAAACTGAGTCCTTGTCTTTTCACTACATGTTTTGTGGACTCTATATTTACATTTTTTTTTTACTTTACAGTTAATAATTAAGTAAAATGTATTTATATAGCGCATTTCACAGGCCTTGCTTTACAATGTTTTTGGAGTTCAGATATGTTTCCGTTCTTTCAACTAGGGGTGGGAACCTCAGGGTACCTCACAATACGATACGATAGGCATTACACAATACAAAGCTCACGATAACGATTACATCACGATAACAATTATATCACAATAACGATTTTATCACGATATGACGATTATCGATATATTGGTTAGAAATATACTGTTACAGAAATCTTTTAGTAAAGCAATCTGAATAAACACGAAAGTTATAAGTGTAATTCTCAACTCTGGATTCAAATACAGCACATATTGGCATAAATAAAAGAAAAATGTTAGGTGAAAAAATACACTTTATTTCATGATAAATGGAATGGAGATGCGTATTGTAGCCATATATTAAGTATTGATACTAATTTAAAAAATATATATATTTAAAAAAAAAATCCATTAGCAAAAGCATATCGATAATCGATTGTGTGAGAAAGTATCACGATACATCACGATATCAATATATCGTCACACTCCACACAGTGATGATGGAAGCGAGACACAGAACACACTGGTGCATCGTATTCCATTCATTCTCTTATAACATTCAAACCTATTGCACATGTATAAAGTAGTCATTTTCCTCGCTCTGGTCATGATCTTCAGCTCATGACCTTCAAACTGCAGCTGTTGTGAGAAAGTGCTGAGAGTGGAGCTTTGAGTCAGAACCAGGACAGATAAAAGCACGCAGATCACTGAATAAGGCATAGTGAAGGTTGTTATTAGCTTGGATGAAGCTAAAAACAGCTGCAGGTCTGTGGTAGATGTTGTAACGTGGTTAAGAGTCGATATTATGAAACATGTTTGTGGTTTGTTTTTCAGATGCTTCAAAGGGAACTGAGCACGTTCTCTGTGACTCCTGCAGCCACTGTCCTGTCCCGCTGTGTGTCCAGAGGAGCCGTAGCCCCGGTAAGATCTGTGGGACCAAGTCTGGGTCTGGGGTAGGACCTCTCCTGTGGGACGAGACCTGAGTCAGGGCCAGGACCTCACCTGTGTCTAGGGTAGGACCTTGACCAAGACCCTTTACTGGAGGCCACGTTTTCCTGCCTCCAACAAAGGCGCGGTTTGCCTTTTTACCAAGGCTAGGGAGGGGTGAAAGGGGAAGGAGGGGGAGAGAGATTACAGAGTCCTTTATTCGTTCCACAGTGGTGAAATTTTAGTTTGATGAACACATACACAAATACACATCAAGGCCTGCAGCGAACATTACTTCATGCATAGTGGGTTAAGTGCCTTGCCCAAGGACATAACGACAGCAGACTTCAGTGGAGTTGGCGGAAAAGGTCTTGCACTGGGCTCAAACCCTCAACCTCCTCCCCATTGTCGCCCCAGAGAGGAAGGTAAGATGGGTGGATTCAGAAAGAGGCAATCCATCTAATTTATGAGCCACCAAACACACCTGGGTTCATATCTGGAAACAGTGTCCAAACAAACAAAGAGTTTGAGTATTTTTTAGTTTCTTACGTCGTTCCCGTCATAATCACTGTGTTCCTAAAGACTGTTCTGTGTGAGTCACAAAGACTTATTCTTTTAGTGTCTACAACAGGATCCACCACCGCCCCCTATTCTGTTCGTTTCAGGAGGAGATGGACTCTGCCCTTTCTGATGCAAGTCCCGCCTTCTCCTGCCACCTGTCCAGAGCCGAGGAGCGAATCAAGACTCAGAGACAACTAGACCAGGTACTAGTTTGTACCTGGTTTAGAACTGGTTTGACCTGGACCAATTTTAAACCTGGTTTGGACCTGGTTTTCTAATTTATAATGTTGTATTTGGACAAACGGTTTCAATTGATTATATGTGTTTGTTATCATTAATATATGTATATACTATATGTGTGTGTATGTAAGTATATGTGTATATATATAATTGTTAACAATTTATGTTTGAGTTACGCTTGTTACATTTCTTTGTTTTGCTTTTTGTTCTGTATTGCTGATGTAGGCCATCTTATTTGTTATTTGTTAATTTTCTTTGATAAAGGACCCCCTTGAAAAAGAGATAGTTTATCTCAATGGGGCTATCCTTAAATAAATAAATAAATATTATTGTCTCTGAGTCCGGTCTCTGAGGTCCGGTCTCTGAGGTCTGGTCTCTGAGGTCCGGTCTCTGAGGTCCGGTCTCTGAGGTCCGGTCTCTGAGGTCCGGTCTCTGAGGTCCGGTCTCTGAGGTCCGGTCTCTGAGGTCCGGTCCCTGAGGTCCGGTCCCTGAGGTCCGGTCTCTGAGGTCCGGTCCCTGAGGTCCGGTCTCTGCTTCAGTTTCAGTTACAGATGGATTTGCTGCAGTTGGACAAACTGAACGCAGACGTCACTCACTCCTTTCACCTTCGTGAGTTTATTACAAATGTTTCTAACCATTATCTGATTTATATGGTCTGGTCCTGGTCTGGTCCTGGTTAAAGCTGGTGTGTGTTTCAGAGAGCCGGCTCCAGAGACTGCAGACCTTCTGCTCTCACCTTCAGGACGTCCTCAGAGACCAGACTGAGCTCAGACAGAGGCTCCTGAGACCTGTGGGGAGGCAGCAGCTGTGTGTGCCCGCCCCCATGCACAGGTAACCCCGCCCTTTCACCCGAGCACTCAGCTAAAACGGGAGTTTCCCCCCCAAAAACCAAGGAATCTGATTGGTCAATCCTCATATGGCTCAAATCTGGATTAACGAAGACTAAACGGTTACTGAGCTAGAGGAGGTTTAACGTGTAAGTCGAGAGGAGCCAAACTTTGGCCTTCATTGGGCTAGCGGGTTAGCATTGTCCATCTGTATCCAGTCTATGTGGTGTATGTGTTAGTGCTGCTTCCACTTGTAAACCTATGTGTGTGTCCGTGTAGGTTTGTGGTGGAGCTTGTGCACATGTTTCTGAACTTTATCGAGACTCTGGAGCAGAAGATCTTGTTTGTTCGGAGCAGTCCTGGTGCTCCTGAACGCCTCACGCAGCTGGTGAGTGCGACACATTCACACATCATCACATCCTTTAAACACTCAAGCAAATTCAATTCAATGTATTCTTGTATCGCCCTAATCACAACACTAGTTATCTCGGAGACTTTGCAAAACTGTCAAATTCACCAACACAGATCAGAGAAACGCATTCATAAAAAATGCATTTATTGCAGTAAGATCAGTTAGAGACCAAAGTCCATAAATGTCCTGGATCATCACCACTGTCCTCCTGCATCAGAAAGGAACAACTCTAACTCACACTGTTGTTTTCCCCAAAGATTAAGATTACTTTTGTTGTCCCAAAGTGGAGACATTTCAGACTCATTTTAATAAAAAGAGCAGTAAATATGTTTCCAGCTCCACTTTCTCTAAACAGTTGCAGACTCTTGTTATATGTATACTACTCAGGCTCCAATCACATAAATACGACCGACACAAAGAGGGTAAAAGACTCTAACAGACTCTATACCCAGGGACCAAAATATGCAGACATATTCATGTTGACCTTGAAATAAATTATCAAATAATTAATATTGTAAACAGCTTAAAACACAAAAGCCACAGATGCCATAGATAAATATCATTAAAACTTTCCTCAAAACAAAGAAATCTGAATCATGGATCCAGGTTACCTTCTCTTCTATAAATACTAGTATTTCTCAAATAGATATGTGTACCTATCTTATATCTTAAAGTTCAGTATGTAAATAACTTATTACGCTTTTTTACTTTTCACTGGTTTAATCATCTTTACAGTGCGTTTTGGCCTTCATACGGTACACTTTCCATGAGTAGTTTGTTAATTGATACCCTCAAGCTTTAGTTAGAGATCAATATTTCTCTTTCAGCCTCGAGAGGCTCAAAAATAACCGGATTCACTTTGTTATGTAGCACACTTTCACACTTAGCTCGAGTTCCAGAAGCCCAGGAGAGAGAAACCAAAACAGTACACAGCCTGTCTGGGCATATCGACCCGCTACCACCGTATGTGTTCACTTCTATGCTACTTCTATGCTGCTATGTCAACGAGTGTAGCTGCACATTCTATTCACGGGGATCTGCCTTTGAAATCTGCAACAAATCTGTGTTTGTGCAAGAAACTTCTCCAAAGACTGCTCGTTTACCATGAAACTGGACCGATCCATAAACTGGACTTAATCAAAAGCTGATCTGGAAACCGTTTTATTCCCACGATAAAATACGCTTACATAAAGCTCAGACATCAGCTCTATGCAAGAAATCGCTACAATACTCAGTTTTGGGTGTTTTATGGTGTGTACTATAAGAAACATATTTATGCAGTTAAAAGAAAGAAGAAAAGTAATTCACACAGACAATAGAAAATATGTTTTGCCAACGACATTCACAATGATCCTTTCTGCTTTTAGGACTCCTCCCTCTCTCAGCTGCTCTCGCTCGTGGCCGAGGTCCAGACTTTGTCCAATCAGATTCTGACGTGGAAGGAAGTGCGCAGCAGCGTTTTGAGTGACAGCTCTGGTCCTGTCCTCTCTGGCCCCTGATCTCACCTGTGGCCGGTCTTTACACACATACACTGGTCCCTGGTGGTATATGGTAAAGGTTAAGATTAAGGTTAGGATTCAGAGATCCTTTATTCGTACCACAGTGAGGAAAATTCAGTGTTGCATCATCTCAGTAACAGCTGTATGTTTTAAGGCTGTAAAACCCTCACACTTTGTAGACTTTAACCAGAGAGAGAGACCAGGGAGAGAGAGAGACAAGGGAGAGAGAGACAAGGGAGAGAGAGACAAGGGAGAGAGAGACAAGGGAGAGAGAGACACAAGGGAGAGAGAGACACAAGGGAGAGAGAGACAAGGTAGAAAGACCAGGGAGAGAGAGACCAGGGGGAGAGAGACCAGGGGGAGAGAGACCAGGGGGAGAGAGACCAGGGGGAGAGAGACCAGGGAGGGAGAGACCAGGGAGGGAGAGACCAGGGAGGGAGAGACCAGGGAGGGAGACACCAGGGAAAGAGCGACCAGGGAAAGAGCGACCAGGGAGAGAGCGACCAGGGAGAGACCACAGAGAGAGACCATGAACGCTGTGTGGATGAAGCCGCATCAAACTGCTGTTTTAAATAATTACTGTATATAGTTCACTGATCAAATAAAACCTCCATTAAATTAAGTGTGTTTTTGCATCTTCTTCAATTCTATATAATTTTGTACAGCCCTAAATCACAGAAGCCGTTTTCTCAGAGGATTTTACAAAGTTGTCAATTCGCTAAAACAGATGTGTGTGTGTGTTGTATTTGCGTGTGTTTCTGTGTGTGTGGTGTATGTGCTTGTGTTTGTGTGTGTGTCTCTGTGTGTATGTTTGGGGCAGGTCTAAAGTGGTATAAACGCGTTCCCCTCCCCATGAGTCCGTTCCTGATGTTGTCTTGTATCTTTTATTGATGTTGATGTGAATAATGCAGCAGCTGTGACGGCGGGGAGCAAGAGAAACCTCACGTTTAACCCCAGGGCTGCGTGTAACTGAGTATTGCGCAGGACTGAGTACTGCGAGCATTCAAGTTACCCTGTGTTGGAGGTAACAGTACTGAAAGTAACAAAGTACTACAACGTTCCTGTTTCCACCTGCTCTACCCTCCCCTCAGTACCAGATCCTTCTTTAGCTCCTCTTGATCCTGATTCTGTCTGAGCCGAGCATATACTCAAGTGTTCTGACAGTGATTGGTCTGAGTGCCGCTGGAAGCCATGGTTACCAAGGAATTTCCAAAGTTACTGGTTTGTTGTGGGTATAGGTTGCTAGGATACAGTATCAGATACTAAAGTGTAATGGAACAAGCAACAATTCTGCAATACCTTTTGCAATGACATACATAGATTTTATTTGATTTTAGAATTAGAATATGTAAAAAGAGACCACACACTTGGACACACTCTTAACATAAACACATTTACACAACCCTGTGCGTGTTTATATAAGTCCTCTACCAACAGTGACACTTGTTGGTGGAGGATGGTGATGATGAAGATGACACCCTCGCGCGCACGTGCACGGTCTCAGCGCAGTCTTGTGCGTCACTCAGGTGCGAGTGACGCGGGCTAGTCTGAGTTCGGAGTTTATGTTTTATAATTGTGGATTGAAAATTATGTTTTTTAAAGTCATTAGACACACACAAAATAAGTGTTTGTCCTTCTGTCCTCTGCACGCACCTCCCGCTCGAATTGCGCATCCTGGGCCTTGGTAACCGTTGCTATGGGCTCTCATCAGCACCACTCTGGTCTCGAGCTTTTACTTTTCCACCGGAACGGGCTCCGGGGGCTCGTGCGTGACGCTTGACGTGGACGTGACGTCATCACCGGCAGCGGCCAGCGGAGACTCACCGAGAGGCTGCTGCAGAGCCGGGACAAGACCCGGACTAAAACCGGACTAGACCCCGGGTCTCAACCAACACGGAGCCAGGACGAAGAACTGACTGAGAGATTAAACCTCATCGCATCCAACCGTGAAACCGGACTAAACCAGGACCCACCGGACCCAGACCAGGATTACACAGACCATCAGGAAAAGACCAGTCCAGGACCGGGACCAGAGCCTGCGCGGACAGGAGGACCCTGCGCGGACCGGAGGACCCCGCGAGGACCGGAGGACCCCGCGAGGACCGGAGGACCCCGCGAGGACAGGACGACCCCGCGAGGACAAGAGGACCCCGGGAGGACAAGAGGACCCCGGGAGGTCCGAGAGGATGGCCGGCTCGTACACAGACCCCGCGTCCCTCACGTGGACCTGTCACAGTGTCACGATGAAGGAGACGCGCGTGTGATATGAGCAGCGGTCACGCGCACGGGCAAGCGCACGCTTCGGTTCGGCTCGTGGCTCTGGTTCTGTGACATGGCGCTGCTGCTGACGTTCGGCCTCTTCACCGGCTCCCTTCGCCTCGTGCACGCGCAGGGCGTGTACGGTAAGCACCGGACACACACGCACATACACGCATGCACGCGCATGGGGAAGAGTGGAGTGTGACCTTGGAGGAGGAGGCGGTCTGAGCGGCGCCCGCGGGAACATACCACCTGCTCCGCTGCTCACGTGCGCTCTCGCATTGGGGGCTGTGAGGGTCGCATTGTGCCGCGCTGGGACATTACCCATGATCTTGTGTGCGCGTGCGTGATCACAGCATGCAGCGCGTGAACAGGTGGTTTCTCTGCGGTGAGGCACGTGCAGAGAGCTGTCAATCATGTTCGGGGTCTGAGGTCACGTGGGGCCAAAGTTTCCAGGGAAATGTAACGTTTCATGTGGGTACAAGTGATGAAAGAGGGAAAGGAGGGGGACAGAAGAGGAGGTGGAGAGGTGAAGGAGGTGCAGAGGGAGAGAGTCAGAAGGACAGGGAGAGGAGGAGGAGTAGCCCTGAGCCTGGGACTTTTCCTTTCTCTCTGAGCTGCAGGTTGCCGGGTAGATTCTTCTGGCCAGATGGACTTTTATAATCGGTTGTTTAAAAAATCTCTTAATGATAAACTCACACTGAACTCTTCACCTTCTACTTCTGCTAAATGGAACTTTCTGGACTAGACCAAACAGATAGAGATAGAGCAGGGACAACACCATGTGGCAAGGCAAGGCAAGTATATTTGTATAGCACAATTCATACACAAGGCAACTCAAAGTGCTAAACAAAATAAGAAAGCATTAAAATCATAAATAATCACAGTACATTAAAAAGAAACAAGCAGAGCTGTTTTAAAGTCTATTTTCTGAGCCACAGGAAGCCAGTGCAGAGACCTGAGAACTGGACTTATGTGGTCGTACTTCCTGGTTCTAGTCAGGACTCGAGCTGCTGCATTTTGAATGTACTGCAGCTGTTTTACAGCCTGTTTGGACAGACCTGTGAGCAGGCCATTGCAGTAGTCTAACCTACTGGAGACAAATGCATGGATAAGAATCTCCAAGTCTGCTTTAGACACTATGTTTTTGATCCTGGCAATGTTTTTTAGATGGTAAAAAGCTGCTGATGTTACTGATTTGATGTGGCTATTAAAATTTAAGTTTGAGTCCAGTATTACTTCTAGATTTCTGACCTTGTTTGAAGGTTTTGGGGAGAGACTGTAGGTGACAGATGACGCTCTCTCTTTGTTTCTGGGGACCAAAGATAATCATTTCAGTGCAAAGCGTTCACACAACCAAAGAAAAAAATGTGGTTTTATAAAACAACACACGCGACCCCCAGCAGTATCCACTTCCCTTAATAACATCCTTTTCAGGCCACTGCAAAAATTTGAAAGAATGCACCAACATAACTCTGCATTTTAACGGTAGCAGCAAAAGTAGCTTCGCATGGTTTCATTCGGACTGGCGAAGGAATAGAATTCTCCTTTGTGTAGTGCTCGAAGTAGTTGAACCGCTTCCATTGTTGTTTACGTTTGTTCCCGGCTACTGTGGATCCAAAAGTGCGTGCAGTGGAGGTCATTACAGGCAGACAATTCACACCTTTTCTTTACACTGCTGTGAAACAGCCCCCCGATGAGTTCTGTTCCACTCTGGAGGCTGTTTCTCAGCGCTTGCGTTTTCACCCTCCTAAAACTTCATGTTTTTGTGTAAACGAAAGGCCAAACCGATACCCAACACTAACCTTTTACTGTTGCAGCGTCTCCGGGTAAACAACATCTGAGACAGAGCAGGGTTAGCCTGGTCGTACCACACCATAGTACAAATGACATTTCTTAATAAGGTCTTGTCGCATGGCGCCGTAAAGATGGCGCCGTGGCAAGAGCTCGTGTGTGTGTCGTCTGGTGCACACTGGGGTAGTCTTGCACAGTTTTTCCAATGTGGTTTTACTGCAAATGGCAAATAAATGAATTTGAATCTGAATCTGAGGTCTACCGTTTACAGGTGGGAGGGGTTAACTCCTTTTACAGATTGAAACGATTGGATCTGAGTTTACCGTGACGTATGTAATGCGCCCGAGTCTGTTGTTAGCATTTAGCCTAGCCATCTCCTTTGCCGCTAACGGAGCCCGTGGGGAGTAGCGCCACAATTTTTTCCAGCGATTACATTTGATAAACATTACCCTTGCTCCGGCTTCAATTTCTTGATAGAACCAGACCGGATTACTTTACTATCGCATTTTCGCCATTGCCAAACTACAACCTGCCTATTCGACGCAAACTCTTGACATCACCCACATCTAACTACAACACCTGCCTTCCGCGCTCTCTGAATGGTCGGTCAAAATTCAGCCAATTTTAATCGCTAACATAGGGACCAGACCCATACGTTACATGCAGTGAAATGATGATTGAACGGAGTGTACAGATGGCAAAGGCCAGGCTAGAGCAGGGTAAGAAGCGTAAAAGGAAAAATCAAAAGAGAGACACTTTTTTGCTGAAGCGAGAAACTTGACATAAGAAATAGTATAAATTTAATGGAAGATTGTTGTAAATGTATATATACAGAGGAAGAAGAAGAAAACTTGACCTTATTTCTCTGATTCTGCCTGTTACCTTTAGACTTAATTTTAAAATTCTTATGTTTAGTTAAAGGCCTAAATTGGTCTTACCCAGGGGCCTTCTCTGAGGCAGGACCAAAGTTATGGAGGAGAGAGAATTTTACTACTTTGCTTCTATATCTTTGTTATATACACTGCTCACAAAAACTTAGAGCACACTCAAAAAACACATCCTCGATGTCAATCAATTGGATTTTTTTGGATGAAAATATTTATTCATAGTGTGTTGAGAACCAAATAACATAAGAATGATAAATGGAAATCAAATTCTTAGCTCCTGGAGGTCTGAATCCAAAATTATAGTCAAAATCAAAGTGACAAATGAGGTAACTGGTTGATCCAAATTTCTTCAAAACGAGTCTGTATCATCCTCAGTAGTGTGTGTGGCCTCCACGTGCCTGAATGCACTCCCTACACCGCCTGGGCATGCTCCTGGTGATACCAAGGAGGTCCTCCTGAGGGATCTCCTCCCAGATCTGGATTAGAGCATCAGTCAGCTCCTGGATAGTCTGTGGTGCGACGTGGCGTTGATGGATGGACCGAGACATGATGTTACAGATGTGCTCTATTGGATTTAAGTCTGGGGAACGGGCAGGCCAGTCCAAAACATCAATACCTTCATCATGCAGGAACTGCTGACCCACTCTTGTCACATGTGGCCTGGCATTATCATGGATCAGAAGGAACCCAGGGCCCACAGCAGCAGCATATGGTCTTACAAAAGGTCTGAGGATCTCATCCCGGTACCCAATGCCAGTCAGGGAACCTCTGGCTAGCTCATGGAGGACTGTGCGGCCCTCCAATGAAATACCTCCCCAGACCATCACTGACCCACCACCAAACCAGTCATGCTGGATGATGTTGCAAACAGCAGAACGTTCTCCAGGGCGTCTCCAGACTCTGTCACGTCTGTCACATGTGCTCAGGGTGAACCATGCTCTCATCCGTGTAGAGCACAGGGCACCATTGGGACCACCATTAGGTGGACCGGCTGGTGTCCTGGTGCAGTGGTAACAACCTGGAGCTGAACGCCCAGAAGACAGTGGAGATGATTGTGGACTTCAGGAAGAGCACTGTCCCCCCGCCCCCACCCTCCGTGATGGACTCCCCCATCACCTCTGTGGAGTCCTTCCGTTTCCTGGGCACCACCATCACCCAGGACCTCAAGTGGGAGCCGACCATCAGCTCCCTCATCAAGAAGGCCCAGCAGAGGATGTACTTCCTGCGGCAGCTCAGGAAAACCAAGCTGCCTGCACAGATGTTGGTGCAGTTCTACACGGCCATCATCGAGTCCATCCTCACCTCCTCCATCACCGTGTGGTTCGCTGGAGCCACAGTCAGGGACAAACAGAGACTACAGCGCATTGTGCGCTCTGCAGAGGAAGTGATCGGCCGCAGCCTCCCATCGCTGCAGGACCTGTACGTCGCCCGATCTCGAGGCCGGGCTGGTCGTATCACAGCCGACCCCTCTCACCCTGCACATGGACTATTCCAACCACTCCCCTCAGGCAGGAGGCTGCGGTCCATCAGGACTAGAACCTCCCGCCACAAGAACCTGTCTCCTGGTATCTCCTCCATGCTCTGGACACTGCGCTGGGAGACACAGCAAACCTTGCCACAGCACGAATGGACGTGCCATTTTGGATGAGCAACTTATGTGGGTTGTAGATGCCTCCTCATGATACCTCTAGTGGTGAGAACACTGGACAAATGCAAAAGTGTTCAAAAAATACAGTACAAAGAATGAAGACAGGGAAATGGTAATGGCAAAACCATTCCTCTTTTGGAGTGATCTTGCTAATTGCCTCTCATTTCCACCTGTTGTCTGTTTAATATCCACAACATCAGATGAAATTGATTCACAATAAGTGTGGCTTTCTAACTGGACAGTCAGAAATTTGACTGACTTGGAGTTACATTGTGTTTTTTTTGAGTGTGCCTTAAGTTTTTGTGAGCAGTGTAGTTCCCATTTTAAGGATGTGGTGTGGGTAGTGCGGTGATGGGAGACTGCCGCAGCAGGGGTCTGTAGGAGGCTGAGGCTGTAGTGCCGTTACCGTGTCCTGAGGCAACACACTTATATTGTATGATGGGTCTCTGTGTGATTCATTTCCTACAGTCTCATTCAAAGAGGGAGACAAGAGTCCAGAGAGGGACAAGAGAGTCCAGAGAGAGAGGCTGTGTATATTTTTTTCTTTATATTAAATGTGTTTGATTGAAATAGTCCTGGTTCTCTGGAGCGAGAGGTCATGTCTGGACACTGCTCTGACTCTGTGTGTTTGTGTAGTTTCTTGTTTTGTAGTTTTGGTTTTGTTGTGGACGGAGCTGAACT